GTGTCCGGCGACTGCTGATGGGTGATTGGCACTATCCAGTGGCTGTACAGATGGATGACTAACATGTATGTGGCTGTTGATACCCTAGTTTGGCTCCATTAGTCATCACACTTGCCTTATACAGCCACTTCCCTTCCCAGAAGGTTCACCACCCAGCACTGGCCGGCGACCATAGATGGCTGAGCGGTCGCCCATGGTCGCCAATAAAAATTACCCGATTGGGCTGGGATTTTAAAGTTACCATATTTGGATATGGTTTACCCTGCTGTGTGCAGAAATCAGGGTCTCCAGCTCCCTAGAAACCATCCGGCGACCAGGCGACCGTCCAGATTAGCCCTTACGAGCGGTATAAGATTATTAGAACGTAGGAGATAGACGCCCAGCTAATCCCGAGCGCTTATTAGTCACGTGGAACTGACTATTCTTAGGGCGTGAGAAGTTTCAGGTATTTTTACATGAAACACCTATTTATAGGTTATTTTCCCACTGTGGGACAATTATATCATTTAAGGTAATCCCGATGCGATCGCATCGGCCTCGGCATTCACATCAGTCATCAAGCATGCTAAGTATAGCTGAAACACTTACTAACATCTATTCCTATACAATGATGTCATTTGGATGCACCCGTAGAGGCGTCTCCCGCCTCTCCACAGACATCCGATGGTACTCCACCTTGAAACTATTTTGGTCCTGAAGAGTATATATACGAAACAGGTTGCTGGGGGAAATCCCCAGCCTGTTGACCAAGTTTCAACTCCTCTTCTCATTACGCTTACCCTCCTCGCTTCGCTCGTCGGGCAAGCTACCACCCTAATTTGCTAGTAATTCAATAATGTCAATATGCTGCTAATATGATATTTTCAGTCAGGGCAGTATAATAAATATTGCCATAGTTATGCAATATACAGTACCATGACTATCTTAAATATATCAACGTTAGCAAAATAAGAGCAGTTAGTCATGTTTTGTCAGTATTTTGAAAAGAAATAAACCTTTACCAAATCTCAGAGTAATGTTCATGTATTGTTAATGGCAATATCAGCAGAAAACATGTAATTTTGATCACAATTTGATCTTGTTTTGATCAGGACAAAATGGTAAATTGTACCCAGTGTTATACCCGACACCTTCGAATCGAGTTCGCTACGTGTTTGCTAGCGTTCTCTCCCACTCCTCGTCCACTGAATTCCAACACACGGTGGGCCGGTGCATTGAAGAGGCGGTGAGGCATGAGGCTTTGTCACCTTCAAACTTATTACCCAAACGTGCCGATTCGCGAAGCCAGTGCGACAGTGTCCATGACAAGAGATGCAGGAAAGGGGTCCAGCGTATTGTAGCGTGCGCAATAAAACCAAGCTGTATTATTCTAATGGTATTACACCCTGGTCTATATATCTAAAACTTAGCATTGACGAGCGCCTTCCATCCCGTGCCTCAAGTCGTCCAGAAGCTTCAGATTCTGCACACGCAGCGCCTCGACTTCCCCACCAAGGGCATCCTCCCACCACCTCTCGCCCTCGGGGACATCTCTCCACCCGCCACTCTGGAACTTTACGAACGCCTTCGGGCTCCCTCCATGCGTCGGCGCGCGGAGAGCGAGTACGCGGTCCATGTGAGGGGGTGGGTTCGATGGCGAGTAAGCTGCCCCACTCGGCGAACTGCGGCTGAAGCCCTCGCATGCAAGTAGAACCGGCGGAGGGACCGTGATACGGCCGTGCTTGAAGCATATCCACGAGACGGAGACGCAGTGAAGCGTCATGCCGTCTTCGAGATCGTCTCCCGCCCTGGCCGCGAGGAGAGCCGCGACCTGTTCAGGGTTTGAAGCAGATCCGTGATCGTTGGCGCCTGGCGAGTTGATCCCGTCGGAGTTGGACGGATGGCTCACGGCTACGCGAGGGGTGGCGCTCACGGCGGGAGTGGTTGCTTCGGTCGAAATCGCAGGATTCAAGGTCTTTTTCTTGCCAGGTGGCGTTCGAGATACGAAGCGCGAGACCATGTACATCTGCAGTGCGACAGTTAGCTACGAAGGATGAAAGACATTCAGTGCACCGCACCCATTTGTGGTCCCAGGCCCCGATGTTGCTGCGCACCTCATACCGAGAAAGCATTGGTATCTCGCGGATGAAGTGAAAGTGGGTGGCTGAGAGGAAAGAGTATCAGCGAAAAGAATAACACTTCGAGAAGCACTGTGAACGCACATCCAAGAGCTATCCATCCACCGCAGCGCGCGAACGAGAAGAACGCCTTCATAGCGACTACGAATCGCCCAGCGTCGAGGATCTGTCAGCACCACAGCAAGGACAGGGTACCGTGAGCACGAGCGAAGGACTGCATGACAATGCGAGACGTACCTTTGCGTAGCTCGAGTTACTAAGATGCATATAGAAGTCTCCCTCGTCCAGTGCTGCCGAGGCGAGTGTCAACTGTATACTAGCAAGAACAGCTAGCAAGACGACGCACTCGCAAAAGACTTCCATACAGTCTTGAATTCGAACGGACTTCGGCCCACGGGACATTGGCCCTCCGCCCAGTTGGAGAGACTACGAATAGTCTCGGCTTTCGAAGAGAACTTGACAGCGAGACGCGTGCGAAGTGCGAGGTACTCGAATCGCTTCTGGAACACCGGTAGGAAGATACGGACTTGATAGGTTGGAGGGAATAGATAAGAAAGTAATAGGAAATGTAATTGGACTAGACGCACTGTGCCATCCGAAAGGCAGCGACTTGAGGTTGACGAGGAAGATTATGACCGTGAGGTACTTGGCGAGGCGGAGAAATACGTTTGAGGTCGGTCTTCTCGCGATGCCTTGAGGGACTTGGGGTATTGCGCGTAGTAGAGACGCGATGATGGGACGGAAGTCGGACGCGCGACGGACTTTGGCAAGCGCGCCCTCAATGGAGTTGGTCGGCATGATGGCGGGTGAGCGGGAGCGTCGGGGGTGTCGTGTCCGGAGCACCTGGGTATGTCGGCGTACGTGGTAGAGGTGTAAAGTCCGGCGAGGTCGTTAAGAGCGCTAGTAATCCCCATCATATCGGTTCGTGAGGATGTTGCGTGTCCCCAATAACGTTAATGACCGGTATGATCGCGACACGGAACCGGCGCGCGAGGGAGGACATGACCGAAAACACATGACAGTATCACCAACCGCGGTGGACCCTCCAAGGCTTCCTCTTCATTTACTCGCTACCTAGGCTACACATGCTAATGAACTACAAGAAACGAAATACGAGGTAAAGAACGTCAATGCAGACTGAGTTGCTCGGTAAATACTGGATATAATGATGACTGGGTAAATGAACTGTGTCCGTTCCGAGAGATGTTTCCATCCAAGCGCGTATGCACAAATTTATAGCGACGTCGGCTCATCAACGTCGGGCTTAAAGCGTAGTCGCCCAAGCAAGAGGGTGTCCCAGCGACTCGTCGGAGGAGTGCCCGACGTAGTGTCCGAGACCTTGCTCGCGAACAGAGCACGTTCGGGTATCTCTTCCTGGTACGAAGGCCCCTCCTCAGCAGCGGAGGTCTCGGCGTCGGTCGTAAACGTGCCCCAAGACTGCCCCACTCGCGGATTCGCGTAGACGTTGAAGTGGGCGTGTCCGTCGGGGTGAGCATGGCTCACGAACAGAGCGTAGTCAGGGGCATCGAGCGTGCCGACAACTAAAGCCCAGCGATGAGCGAACGTAAACATCATGAAATACGAGTGACTGACCAAGGAAGACGTCCTCCTTTTGGATAAGATGGCTCGAAGCATACTGTTTCATTATGGTATCCACGTTCGCCTTGAACCAGCTCTTGGGTGCGTCGAGGTTTTCGATGAAGCGATACATCGTCGACTCGGCGAAGACGTACGCAGCTTTCGTACCGGCTCTCAAAGGGAACGAATAGCGTCGGCTGACACTTTCCCTGCAGGAATATGTCAGAAAGAAAGATAAACATGATCGAAACAAATACTCACGAATACGACCCGTCTCCCTTGTCCTTGAATGTCAGGAGCCCGGCGAGCGAGCGAGGGATAGCATCCAAAAAAGTACGTTGAGCAGCGTTGCGCTTGTCCTGCCGCTGCTTTCCCTCCTTGACGTCCCCGTATCCCTGGAGCCGCGGCATCCCGCTGAGCACTCCGTCCGATGTCTTCACGGGGTCTAACGCGTTGAACAAGACGACGAATTCGCCGGAAGGCTTGGACAAGTATCCGACGGACCCAAGCGCGATATGCGAGGGCGACCACAAGGGAAGTGTCACTAGCGTAAAACGAAGCTTATGTTAGACGCTGAATCCACGAAATGACGTGTGCGACTCACAGGTATGGTTGAACTCGTGCGTATGTCTCGCGAGCAGTCGATATCTCCTCTCGTCTCGCAACAGCTTCTGCCGATCATCCAACAGCGGCGGCGATGTATACCCAGCATACTCGTCCGCAGCGGATCCCGCCACTGTCGGACTAGGCAGATTCTTCAGACTCGCAGGCGGGCTTGAGCTGAACAGGGACGACGTCCCACTCCCAGACTCCGAATCGTCCCCAGGCATCGATGACTGCCTCGACGGCGTATAGATAACGGGCACAGGAAAGTCGACCTGGCCCTCGTGACTGTGGCCAGTATGATGCCGATGCGGCGCGCCGATCGGTTTGAACGGCTCGGGTGGCCCTTGACTGGCGCTCGAATCCGAGACAGGCGACATTGTCATATCTCGAGACGACCTCGAGTCTCTCCCGTCGCTCGCCATATGCGAGCTCGCTGTTTCATACACGTCCGAGTCATCAAGCGGCACCGTCTGTTGCGGCGGCGTGATGGCTGACTCGACAACGGGGAGACCAGTCGTTGGTCGGGGATCGGGCGACGGAAATACAATGCGGTGCAGGCCAGGCTCAGCCCACGCATCCGCGTCCTTGGGCGGATGAGGACTTCCTTCATCCACAGGACGACGAAGCCGCTTGAGTTCAGTAGCGATGTCCGAAAAAGGTGGCCGTAATGCAGGATCGCGAGCCCAGCAGCGAGTGATTAACATCCTCAGAGCTTCAGTGCTCTGCTTATGATGAGGGAAGGGCGGTCGCCTATCGTTGTCTATATTCATAGACGTTAGTTATATATACACGGGCACACTTAGGATACACTTACCAAAGATCAAGTGAGCCACAGTGGTGTCATCAAGAAGTGACCAAGGGAGGTCGCCCATACCAAGAATCTCAATACACGAGATAGCGAACGCGTAGACATCGATTTCGGGCTTGAGCCTGTTATCCCCGTCAACGAGCTCGGGGGCTTGCCAACGCAGAGTACCGTCTATCAACTCATTAGCTAACATGAAGATGAAACAACAATATAGTACATACGCGGCAGGGCCGTCCCGCTCAAGCGGTACGCTTCCGACTTGAGCTCGCTCTGACCAAAGTCAGAGATAACGCAGCGCCCACTCTCGTCAACGAGTACATTAGCAGCCTGCAGTGCCATGAGCAATCGTAGACAGACATGCATACTATCCGCTACGCACCTTGAGATCGCCGTGGAAAACTCCCTTCGAATGGAGGTACTCCATCCCCTTTGCAACTTGATGCATGCAGCGAATGACATCGACTTCGGGCGAGACTAAAGAGTCCCCAACACTCGCGACCCGCCTCTTCTCCCTCTGTCTCGGACTCGCCTGCCTCAAGAGTTCGCTACCCGTACCGCTCCTCGTCGCATCGAGCTCCCGGTCCTTGGCGAGCTTCAGCCACTTGACAAGGCTCCCGCCGTTACAGTAGTGGCTAACGATGAACCACGGTTTCTCGCCAGCGGCACTGCTTGCGCCGTACAGCCGGAGCACGTTGGGATGGCGAAGCTCTCGCCAGATCGAGACCTCCCTGACGAAGAGCGAGCGCGGGACAGTCGGGCCGAGAACCTTGATGGCAACATGGTGCTCGCGCCAACGACCGAGGTAAACGTCAGAGAAGAACCCGACACCAATTTTGCTGATACGGTCGACTTCCCAGCTACAAGACGTCAGCCTTTACGACAAACTGAAGGAAGGAACGGCAGCGCTCACCGGGTAATTGTCCAACTGGGCAAATCCCAAGGAGCGGGCGCATCATCCTCCGACACCCCGATGTTCGACGCGTCCTTGATGAACCCCGGCCTCGCACTCAACCTCGTCATCGCGTCAATCCCACTCTCCAAAAACTCCCGATCGAGCGTGTCTCTGCGATTCGACACCCCATGTCGCGCATACTTCTTCGCTGCCCCGCCAATCTCAGGCACGGGCTCAGACTCATCGATCCAGCCCGGCTCGCTGCTAGGCGACCCTCCACCCGCCTCGGGCTCCTGCAACTCCAGCGCGCGCCGGAGCGTGCGCACCGCCTCTGGAATCTCGCCCTTGCCGATCTGCATCATGCGCATCATCTCCTCATCGCTGTGCGACCCGATCGCAGCTCGGAGGAGCACACGTAGCGCCTCCTCGTCACGCACGTGGTCCTCCGCGTTCTGGTGATGATGCAGCTCGGTGAGCTGCCGGATGTAGTCTGGGCGTGGCGGAATGGCCGTGACCGCGGTGTCCGTCGACGTGCTGCTCTGGACGTAAGGCAGGGTTGGTGGCCTTAGCGTTGACACGGATTCTTCGAGGTTGGGATGCGAAGGTGTAGGTGTCAGGTGGGCGGAGCTCCCTCCAGGCGATGCGTGCCCAGAGGGTGGCCCTAACGATGAGTAAATAGGGGGTGGCGATGCACCACTGCCCGTCGCTGGCGGCTGGTCGACGCCAGTGAGCCCGAGCCTGTTGCCGCCCACCATAGCCGTCTGGCTGAGCACGGCCCAGTTTCGTCGTTGCTCTGCCGTGACTTCTTGGACTTGGCGCAAGACACGGATTTGGATCGAAACCTATGTGTACGTGAATGAACATCATTCTACGACTAAAAGGCAGATACGACTCACTCCAAACATACCCACGACATCGGTGAGTGCACGATCACAAGCAGTAATCTCACGCAGAATCTCGTCGCGCTTGAGATAACGCTTGATAAATGGGCGGTTTACCTGCCGCAGAAGAAACGCATGGATCTCGTGCAAGGCTCTATGAACGCCATCAGCGAGGACACCGAGCATGAACGGCGGCGACTTACGCTACAAGTCTGCCGAGAGGGCCCTCGAGCTCGTCGCCGACAGCACTACCAGCTTCGTCGACCTCGATCCTGACAGAATACAGGATGGTCGCGCATCGTTCGATGAGTCTCAGGCACGCGAGGCGATTGGTCTGTACGTCCCATTAACCACACTTCTCCGCTCTCAGTCAAACAGGGACTTACATCGACCTGCTCCATAGCCTCCCAGATACTAAGTAACGTCCGGGCTGCCTCTTCGAGTCCAAGGACGGGTACAAATCTGGTGACATCGATCGCCACATTCAACGCCTCTTTGGCAATGGGTGCTGCGACGTGTCCCGCATGTACGACTAAAGATTCATTCGTGCGATGTTAGTTTGTGACACCAGCCCAACGAAACTAAACTATCGCTCACCAGTGTTTTTTATCCTCAGTCTCTTACCCACACGGGGTGCCTGCTGCTCGATTTCCTCAGGGTTGAGGATGGAGTTGATGGCAACAGAAACATGCTGAGATGGACAAAGTCAGCAGTGGCGCCCACGATTGGATGCAATATGCGAGCTCACCTGCTTGGTACGCTTGCGTGCCTCCTTGTCCTCCTTCTTGACATGGTGTTGACCCATACCGGCCCATGATCCCGCGCGCGGACGACTCGCCGAGGACGTCGAAGACTCCTGACGCTCCGGAGGCTCTGGCTTCTTCCCCTTCTCGTCACCTTGTGTTTGAGCAGGCGGGTCGTTGGCAAGAGATGGGCGAGCTGGCGATGTGTGACTCCCAGGTCCATTCTTGTCTGTTTGGCGTCGGGAGAACGGGTTATATAATTTTGATACCGCAGACGAGATGCTGCCGCTGCCCGTGCTGTTCCGTGCTTTCCTTCGCACTGAGGTAACCGATCCGAGGGAGGAAGGTGCCTTGCTGGGTGACGCCGAGGCTTTGACCGAGGACAAAGCGTTGCCCTTGCCGAAGAAGCTATTGACCTTGCGTTCCTCGTGCTCCTTCTCTTCCAGTCCAACTCCGAGGGCGGAGAGAATGCCTGTTTGAGGCGCAGACTTGCCACGCGGCAGCGCAGGAAGATCCTTCGCGACCATCGGGGGTGTCCCACCGGGGAACTTGACAGAGGTGCTGGAGGTTGAAGGTGGCGGCTGTGGTTCGGAGATGCTGCGTACAGCAGCAGGGGCGCTAATCGCGTCGACTTTCTCAATGGACAGCGCGCGATGCTTCGTGCGCGGGCTGCGGGTCATGGGAGGCGAATCACCGAGTATATCGTGCACCTCGGCTTCACGCTGAGCGCAGGAAGACGCACCAGCGGCATACGCAGCAGACCAGTTTGGTCCTCCCACAGCGCTGTCGCCCGCTCCTCCATCGTCTCCGCCTTCTTCATCCTCTTCATCCTCTCCATCTTCGACCATGTGCGGGTTCGCTGCGTTCGGGTCGGAGGTGGCCCAGTCGTCTTGAGGCTTGCGCTTGTTCCACCAGGACCGCGGGGGCGCATTTGGGGGCGTCGCGTCGCCGGGTACATGGTACGGATTGCGAGGGGGAGATGGCAAGGGAGAATCCCGGCGGGCACGTATAGGGGACTGGGCGCGGGAGCGGGAACGGGTGGGGTCATGTGATGGCGTGCGCGAGTGGACGGGTGTCAAGCTTGCGCTCATCGGGGATCCAGATCTGCCGCGTCCTCGACCCAGATCGAGCGATGTATGCCGTCCCCTGCTCGCCGTCTCCGGGAGACTGAGAAATGACTGGCCTGGAGAGCTGTGGGTGCTGAGCGGTAACGATGGCGGCGGGATGCTGGAGAAGGTGGGGTGATCGTAAGATTGGGGCAAGGGGATCGGGGTGCGCGAAGGAGTAGTGCGGGGTGAAGGAGATGAAGAATGAGAGTGTGGTGATGGGTTGAGTGGTGATGAGATGCGAACGGTGGAGTCTGAAGAGGATGAATGGGCTGGGGACAAGCCTGATGAAGTTCGGGTGAAGGGATTTGGAGGTGAAGCCATGATGGTGGCTGATCGTGGTGGGCGTTAATGTTATAGATGGGAATCGCCGAAGGAGGGCGAGGTTTATATGAGATGAAAGAGGCTGCACACCTCGTTACTCAAACTGTGACCCGTCCACACCGACGACGTGTATGCCCTTCCCTTTCCGGAGTCGCTGGAGTTGCCGCCGTCACACCCGCGGTCCTCCCAAGAGGAAGATCCGCGGTGGAATTCGACCCTCGCTCGCGATCGAGTGCCCAGTCACGGATGCGTGCACGTACGGATCCGCTGGTTGACGAGGCTGCTCGCTTTCGGTGGCGAAATGGTGGTCGAAGACGAGGAGCAAACCTCTCGTTGGCATGTCCTCATACCCCCAGGTACTGCCGCCGGCAACTTGGCACCAATTTGCAAAGTACCTACCGGCGGCTAATACTGACGTCGTTGAGTCAACCTCCATTTTTGACACTGCGTACTGCTCTTAAGGTCTAGTCGAGAATGTTCTTTGTCTACAGCTAATCACAGCTCCTAACTCGCTCTAATCACCAATCGAGCTTCCCAGCGGCAGTGCCAGTGCAGATATAAACAGCTGCCTCGGTACCTCCGCTAGCGCCGCACCACCAACTTGGAAACGAATAGCGATGCTCCGGTTTCTTCCATTGCAAAATGCCCAAGCTTATTGTCAATGCCAGGCGAAGGCCTATCGCTGTTCGCCTGGTTTCTAGTTTCTAGGTCCGAGTCTTCCTTCGATGAATGCATTGTTCCAAACTTCTGTCATCGGCTCAGGACTTTGAGTCTAGATGCTAGTAGGATCAACGCATTGTAGTTGGAGAATGTACTGTGTTCGTAGTACAAAAGGAATTGGCGACGTGTCATGCCAGTATATGGGCACGTATGGTTTCATGCTGTGCCGCTCCCCTATGGCTACACCGAGTCAGATCATATTTGCAGCGTTCGAGAATCAGCCTTCCCCCAGTGTTTGTCCCTTGGCGTGTAACAACCAGCTCGTCTATCTCGCCGAATTATCAAAGAATAACGCGCGCGACGTTAGCTGTGCTTTCATCAAAATGTATCTGTACAGCGCTCAAGAGAGTACAATTGGGTATTTATTGGTGTGATAATTAGCCCCTGTCAACAACGTCGCTGGCAACAGTTAACGGAACGGGTTTGCTCATACTATGATGCACTAGAGCCATCCTCACTAGAGATCTTAACCTTAGAGCGTGCAGCATTTAAATTACAGGAAAAGTCAGATTTTTACATCTTCCAATCGAACCGCGCTGACAACGTACCACCACTGCCGTTCACCCGAGCGAGTACGGCATCCAATCCACCTCTAGCCCAAGCTCTTCGAACCAGCCAACTTCGTGTGCCTCAAGATCGCAGTTTTCACCACGTTCAACCCTTTCGATTCGACACACAAACGCACGACGAGCAACAATGCAGTTCCTCAGTGCTTCCATGTCCTTTCCACAGCTACTTTCGCATATCCGGCGCCGGGAGTTTTCCATCTCGGGGTTGTAAAGACGAAAAGACCGACTGACTACCTTCGCGACTGGTGTTGACCAGCTCAAATGTTTGGAGGGGGGGGGGGGGGGGGGAGATGATGGAAGACGTCGTGCAAAGTCGGGCCAGTCCAAGGAGCATGAACATCCGCTGATCATCACAGAGGTTACAGAGGCAGTGGCCAGAACCTCAATGAGTGAGGTAAAGAGGTCGTCAGCTCGCTCCACATACGCCCAGCAATTGAGCTTCATTGATGGCCTGTCGTCAGAGGAAGGAATGAGCTCGAAACCCAAGCAAACAGCATCGTGATCTGATTCGATGAATAATGAGACGTCGCCCTCGTTGAGGTTGAATGAAAACTCGTTGTTATCAAAGCTGCGACGTTTATCATCGGCCGGATCGTTTCAAGTTTGACATAGAGCGACTAGCCTGCGCAGCATGTTCTTTGTAGTGTGTACCCCTGCCGTTCAGTACGAAGGACAGTGTGATATAAAGTGCCGAAAGGACGAACGGCTGTCACTGGGGTCGGACGGAGTGCTGAAGAGAAATATTTCGCCCATTTTGATAGCATACGTAGAAAAAAATATCGGATAAGCACTTAGTGCAGCGACCAGCTGACTGACTCTTATATGAAGGGCAAGAACCGTGACGAAAAGGAGAAGACAGGAGGAGACGCGCATCGGCGCGCCAGCCAATTTCCCACGTTACATCCGTTAAACTCTCCTCTTCCCAAAGACCGTGACACTCTCAGACTATCCATCTCGTCATGCTCGCTCGTCTGTCCAAAACGCAGCCAATATCCAAGGCCCTCTCCACGCCTATTTACACAAGTGTGCGCACCAAGACCACAACACCGTATGGTCGCTCACACATCCGCGCTATGCGCTCGCGCAAACTCCCCAACCCCGTCGTACCCCACTTTCCTCAGCTCGTCTACCGCTCGGACGGCTCCTCTTTCACCCACTGGACCACTTCTCCGCGCTCTGTCATCACCCTCACGCGTGACACGTCGAACAACCCCCTCTGGTCCGCCACGGCGCGTATGATGGGCGGACGTACTGGCGTCGAAGAGGAGGAGGAGGCGGGTACTGGGCGTATGGGCCGCTTCAAGAGGCGTTTCGGAAAGGAGCTGGACGTAGATAGCTGGTCGGACATCCATGAGGAAGCGAAGGCTGAGGACGATGCACCAGCAAAGAAGTGAGGGGTGTCAACTTTATTCGCTTGTAAGTTTTCGCCTTCAACTCTTCCGATGATATCCTGGCTCAAAGTCAGCTCAATTGGATAGTAGAGGCCTTCGAGCAAGTCTACGCTACTTTTACCACTACCATCCCAGGCTGTAATGATTCTCTAATAATCTTATGCCACTGCAGAGCATTATGCAATAAGCGGGCAGTGATTATGACGAGACACGAGGGAGAAATATGACGGATAATCATTATGTCTAAGGTCTAAACATAGTCCAGTTGTTCTATACCTTCTTCGAGCCTTCTAACCCGTTGGGGGGACCCTCCCTCCCTACCTTGCCAATCTCCTTTTCCGCTGCCTTCTTGAGTTCCTCCGTTTGCACATTCGCCTGCTCCTTCAGCTGGTCCTTAGCCGTGACAAGCTCGCCAGCGCCCACCTTGGCCTGCTCTTTGGCCTGCTCCACCTTCTCCTGCGCATAACCCATCGCCTCTTGCAGCTTCAAGCCCGTGCCCGCCTGCACTTGCCCAATAACACCGCTCACGCTGCGACTCAAGGACTCCCGGCCCGAAGCAGTCCTGTCCTTGAGCTGCTCCCAACCCATGCGCGAGTGCGCGACGCCCGTGCGCCGGAAGTGCCCGAACGCGGGGACGAACCGCTCTTCGAGCTCCTCGGCGTACTCGCCCACGTTGGCAGCCGTCTTGGGTAGGAAGTGCATGAGGGATGCGACGAATAGCGTTGGTGGGAGCGCGACGCGGACGGGGAGGGAACGCGAGCGCGCGAGGATGGAGCCGGTGAGGGTTGCGATACCGACATAGAGGATGGAGGGTGTGAGGGGTTCGGTGGGGTCGCGGAAGGATTTTATGCGGGCTGGGTAGCATGTACTCCGTTAGAAACAAGAGAGCGTGCAATCGAGGTAGGAAAGAGGCGGAGACGTACATTCCACAGCTTGCTCGACGCCAATCCAACGCGATACGAGGCCCTGCACCTGGTTGTACCCATTGTTATACGCATCCGTCACGTTCCGGCGCACTTCCCCAATGCGAGTCTCGAGGACCGACGGCGTGTCGAGAAGAAGGATCTCGGGTGTTGGGCTGGGATAAATCGAGAGCTGGCGATAAAAGACCGAGTCAGCACGTCCGAAGGGCAGCGTAAGGTCATCGGGATGTTCAGCGCACCTTCTCCCGCGGTTTTCCGGTATCGACGTCAGCGAGCGTAACGCCCGCGACGCTGGCAGCCGCCAATGCCGCAGACCTTCTAGACTGAGAAAAACATAGTGAGAGCGATGAACGTGCTTTAGATAAACTATAACTTACAGCTACTATCCGGAACATTTGGTGACGGGGGAGGCACACTCCAGCCGGCAAGGGAGAGCGAGAAATAGGCCGTGGGAAAACGTTACGCAAACGAGGCGCTTTCATCCATAGGGGCCATGGCCAGTTGCGGCACGGTAATATTCACCTGTGTCATACTTCGAGTCATATCCGAGATCAAAGCTTTTTGTACGTACCACTTGCTCTTTGGCAAGGCTATACACTGACATACAGTAGGTAGCATCGGCCAAACCGTCCGCAGACTTCAGCAGCTACTATCGCGATATGGCTACCGCACTGGGGGCTGTTCGAGGGGGACGATGTCCCGTAGGAGCGATTCCGGTTGAGATCCTCTGCGACATCTTCCTCCGTTCGGCTGCTATCTCAGCCCGTGTGGCAATACCTAACTGTGACTTCAGAGGAGGCTGTAGACTATCTCTCAATGTCGCTCAAGTTTGTCGCGAATGGAGAAGCATCGCTTTATCGATTCCAGAGCTATGGGGTCTGATCTACTTCAGCAGGCGTCATGCGCAAACACAGGATTTCTCTGAGCTTATAGAGCTCCTTTCTAGATCAAATTTTTCCTCTAGCTTCTTAGTCTGTGAGACATACTTCTCAACGTTGATTGAGCGCTCCTTTGAGAAACTTGTTTCTCTATGTAGTCAAGGCCGGCTTGATTCCTTTCACGATCGATTCCTCGGGGTAGACATTACCGTTTGGGAAGGATATGGGGAAGTAGCGTCCTGGCTGCAGCGCTTCAAGCGCCTTCAAAGGCTGAAGATTATCTGTGAGGAGGGCGATTACTGGATAGAAGATATGCCTTCTACTTTCCCCAATCTTACCCATCTCTATATCAAGTTCAATCTCAGCACTGAAGCCGAGAGGCTCGTTAAAACAGGATGGCGCGGCTTGCGTTCTCTTATCGTTCAAATGGACGGTGATCTCTTCTATTGGGACGCTCAGAAACTCTGTTCCAACTTTCCAGACCTGGAAGAGCTCCTTATCCTCACCCCGGTCCTCAGGCTATGCTCAACACCAACTCATGACGTCAATCTTACCACCCACTTCGCGCTGAAGTCTCTCGTGGTTAACTGTATCATCGTGAAGCCTGAATCCACCGCTTTTGGATACCTTGGGACGATTACACTTCCTGCACTGAAGCATCTGGTGATAGACATATCCAACCTCACGCCGGCTGATCTCCAACCCATGGAAGACTTCGCCGATCGCTCGCAAGTGCGGCTTAACACCTTATCCCTAATCACGTCAACGGCCACTATACCATCGGACTCGGACATTGATAAAGAGACTTCTCGAAGCAGAGTTCTTCGCGTCATTCTCAACGCGTTTGGCGTAGATCGTGCGGAAGTCACCTACGCATTCTTCAAAACAAGGCTATGGTTTGATTGGATGGCTAACTGGTACAGGCCATATGTGAGCCACGATTTAGATCGAGACACAGAGAGCTTCCGCCGATATATCACACTCACCGGAATATTGTAGACCGAAATTTACAACCCAGCGTCGTATTCTGTATCAAGAAACTGCTCCAATTCTGCGTCGTTTACTTCATTTAAATGTATATCATGATATAAACACGTTTGATATTCACAGAAGGGATCAAACGTTTCGGCCTCTTCTACCGACTTTAATCTTTTGTAATGTCGCTATACGCTTGTTTTCTCTGGTCTTCACACAAGATTTGGACCAACCTGTACCCAGAAAGGCCGCCATATATGGCAGTTGTTGTCGCTCCATAGCACCAGGGTACATTTATATGGTGTATAACGGCTGAGACAGCAAATAATCACGATACGGATGGATTGCCGATGACACTAGACACAAATCTGGAATCAATTGAAGGGTATATGTCACGATTTGCCCAAGCCCCACATCGCAAACGTCTCCAACCAGTCAACTCCGCTTCATCCCCCCCATCTCAAACATTTCCACGCAGCCTTCGATCCCGGTAGTGTGTGGATCATAATTCGACCAGTCCGTCGACAGAGCTCCGTCGGTCGGCTCAATGATGACCACGTTGTCACCATTCATCTTGGCCGGACCTGTGTGGTTGCCGCCCCTGTCAGAGAATTGCATGGTGCTGAGCCGTTCGCTGGGTGCCCCGCGGGACGAAGTAGTCTCGTGAACTCGACAGAGGTGTAGCTGCATGTTGGTGGCGAGGACCGTTTGTAACACAGACTGAAACCTACAGGTAGCATAACGTTATAGCTCAAGTTGATGACCGAAGCTACAAACAAAACGTAACTCACATTTCAGTCGTTTCAATATACGCGATCTAGGACTCGGCGTTAGCCGACGCATATCATAAAGGAGCTCGATACTCACAGGCACACTGAATTCAACTGCAGCGTTAATCACAGACAATACTAGGTTCTGGTCAGCACGCGATAGGGTACAAGGAATGTCAGTTACGTACTAAAGATCACGGCGCAGTACAGGACCCCATCACGCATGAGCGTCTCGAGTAGGTGGCTCTGCATCGACTGAGTCTGTTGCCGCAGCCTAACCAGGATTGACCCTAAAAGAACTACAAGGTGTTAGCGTCGCTGAAAGTTGGGAGAACTGGACGGAGTAAAGTAGTTCAAAACACCCAACTTACTCGCTTCGTTGGCAATGATAACAACAAACGTGCCAGACAGCCCCTGATTGTTTCCCCCAGTCTTGAAGCAACCAGAGATTGCTGGGATAGGCGATGGTCCAACTAACGTGTGGGACGAGATGGAATATCAGTATTAGTTACGATCTGTGGAGAAGCCACTTACGGGCTGGACTTACACGTTATAGAAGGCATATATGTGGCTAATAGTACGCTTACGATAAGGAGGGAAGTCTATCATGACCGATGAGAATTGAATAACTTGTTCACGAACGAGCACACTTACCACAAGATTGACGATAGAGAGTATCATTGCAGCGCGCTTTCCGTTCCACATTGCATAGTTCCGCAGACTGAATAGACCTATGATACGTCCACGTCAGATTAGCGAGCCGAAACAAATGAGCGAATCACGCACACTGCGACACTGTGATGGCAAAAGCCTGTGTTGCTAGAGTGATATTGTTAAACGTGAATGCATCATCCCGTGCCTCAGGACCACACGATAACCCTACCTGTGCTTGCGTAGAACAAGGGTGCACAAGCCTGAGGCCAATGTTAGCGCCCCATTCAAAAGGTTTGATGTATGACGCACTTTCTCTGGGGTTGGGAAATCAAGTTGGTCTTATCTCGAAAGACGCATCAGGAAATGTGTCGTCATACGACTGCACTAACGCACCTGCGAGCGTGATGGGAATAATAGCAAAATTGATGTACCGAGCCATGATATATAGGCTCTTTCCCATGCCCCATCCGCGTCGGCTCCAGATGTATTGGATCTGAAAGTATTGCTGAGCGAATATGAAGGAAGAAAGGATGTAGTGCGCGCCCACCTCGTCTCCCAGGTTGAGGAAGTAGTCGTATAGCTATACATACGGAAATATGGATTAGAGAGCTTAAAGAGACCTACAAGTCGAATGCACTCACGAATAATGCTGTAATGGACACTTGAGCGTCATAAGTACACGTACTACGGTAACGCGTCACTTGAGCGTACCTTCAAAGTACTAGATGCCCACAATGCATCAGCACAATGGGATGCACAGACTGTCGGGGAGGATAACATGAAACGGTCTGCTTACGTTGACCAGCTTATTCCCGTCTGCAAAGTACACCAGCTCCTCGTATGCCTTCTCCATCCCCTCTGATTCGGCAAATTGTCGTGTCAGACACCCTATTGATGAAGATGAGCTCGAAGCGAGTAATCAGGCGAAGGCAAGGAAATGGAGGGGCGTCAAGGGAGTTGAGTCGGCCTCAAGTGGATCCAGCGTTGAACGCTGATGCCAGAGGCGTGTTATTTATGTCGTTGCCATCTGGTTCAGCGGCATTATGGGCCAACCGGGCCTTCAACCGACCTCCGCAGGCCTCCGTTCGATCGGACAGCTGTCAATTTTCCCGCGGTTCCTGAAGATCATGTCATGATCATGTCCAGAGCCGACGGCTGGGAGAAGATGCGAGATCAGACTCAAATCATCGTTCAGCGCCAATCAGGTTTGTTCCAAGTGTTGTGTCAAGACATTCAAGCTCACAAATTTGGGCTGCACCGACTACGACTCCCGGAACTTGTTGGCATTGGTCGTATCGTGGGGGGCAGTGCCTGGGGCAAACAGTTATCCCGCATGAGTTAGTCATAACCTCCCATTGCGTCGGTAGTAACTCGGGTGCTTACAGATTCATCATATACAATGCCTCTTTGTTAGTTTGATGAGCCAATCGAGGCATATGACGTGCCTCACTCTGGGGAAAGCAAAACTGTCTAAAGTCAGCGCTGCCAAGCATCGGTTTGATGCGAAAGAGGTTGCGGATGTTCGGAGAAGGAGTTTTACATTCGGTCTCATTCGGTGTGTCCGACTCGGACCTTCCGCTATCAGCGGGTGATGCATTGATGACTCCCTCGCGTTCATGATCGCGCTCGCCGGCCTCTGTACATTGTCTTCGTTGATCATTCCAGGCCTCGACTGTGCAAGCGACGAATTCTTGGAAAAGGTCACGATGAGATAAAAAACGCCGAGGCTTACATGGTTTAAGATGTCAAGGGACCAGCAAATATTCCGCACCTTTAATACCGCTACTCGCGTCTGTCCAAAACATTTCACCCGTTGGAACGCTAGGGAGAGCGCACATTGATCAGGACGGTGCTCTAATCGCTAAAATGGTGTCCAAACTCCTTGGTTCGCATCGGAAGGATGAACCTTAACTGTGGCTGACAGAAGTAAGAAAAAAACCTTCACCAAGTTGATGCGGTTTGCCAGTTTATCTGTTCGGTATGCAGATTATCGCTAGCTTCGTGCAAGACCAAAGGGTGCACTTACCCTTCAAGGGCTCAACGCCCAACCGCGAGTGATGCATGCTGAACCCTGCTGAACCTAGATAGTGCCTAAGTAATGATTGGATGGAGGCGAACCGAAGGTGTCCTGGTTGACTGTCTCGGTGCTACTCGGCGCTGCCGCCGGCACCCTCGTCTACCCTCGTGTCGCGTGGTCCTTCTCTCACGATCTCGGTCTCCCTGGCGCGCACATCAGCGGCACTCAGCTTCCTGGGACAACCAACTCAATTGCAACCCATCTCCAGTCGCCAACTTTAGGCAGTAGCAGGTCATCGACACGCTCGTCGCGGAGGGTCAAGACACGCATGTGGTTAACTGGCATAGAGCTTCTGTGCGGCTGACAGGTTTTCATTCCTCGGAGTGCACTTTGAGTGCACTGGTTCGACAACGGTGGGAGGCGCACAACGCGCCTTTGGTAGGGTTTCTATGAGCAACGCTCTATCATTGCCGCTTAGCGATGATGCGGCTGAAGGCACAGGCACATGGACAGATTCTTTTCTCTCTTCCCTCTCTCTCTCTTCTCCGCATCGTCATCGTCAGCGCCAGCCCGGAGATGCAGAGCGTAGACATTGGTAATACTCTAGGTAAGTCGTTATGGCTTTTAACCTTTTTCACGCAGCTTCATAAATCTCGTTCAATAGGGGCTGCGTACATTGGCGGGACGGCGGCGGCGGCGTAAGTCATGTATTTTGATCCATTGGCGCTCCCAAAAAGCTCACTAACCTCAATCTATCTCAGGTTGTACGGCGTCACGCTCCTCCAGACTACGATGTACTACTTGAAGTATCCGCAAGATCCTCTTTACGTGAAGTCCCTGGTTAGTTTCCCTCACTCGCACAGGCAGCGTCCTTGACTGCATGGGTATATGCTGGGTATATACGCAGGTAGCAACTGTTTGGTGTGTTTTTCGCTTGTTTAAGCTCCTAGCTGTCTCATTCTGCGATCTATAGGTTGCTGGACACTTTGCATGTCGCCTTCAGTAAGAAAACAATATCTTTTAAGCATGTTCAACGCTCTGAACATTGGCGTGTCTAGTGGGTCACTGGCTGTACTTCAATCTGGTCTGTGATCAAACTACTTGCCCCCCGCCTTGACGATTCATGCTCGCCATCCTCTAGGTCTCGAGTCGTTTCGTCATTTCCGGGCTCGAAATCGCACTTTGGTGAGAGGTTTTTGCTCCACTTTAACTCCCAATCATTTCTCACTTGTGATCCCTAGGTCGCTTCCCGTAAGTGGGTCAACCTGAGCCTCTGGGCATCAAACACCGCCTATTGATGCTGATGTGTTATATTATCACATGCCTTCTAGTCATCGATCTTGATGAATGTAGGTTGACTCGACTCTGGAGGTCGCCATATACCCGATCTGACTTTGCTAGTTATCATTGGCTGTCGTCATCCAAATGTGAGCGTGACCTCCAATATCACTGCATTCTGAAACCTTACGATGCCTAGATGGTTTATGATGCGAATCTTCTACTGTAAGTCTAACTCCAATCTCGAGTACTTCAATCGAACGTTCACTTGCTCTAGTCGCAAGGACGAAAGCTCGATACTGGCTATTGCTTGCCATGGTAAGTCTTTAAAATCGTATAGTCGACATACCCTCCTACGAGAATATCGTATAGACCGTAGCTGTGCTTGGCCATCTCGGTGAGTCACGCTCCCAAGCTGGGTACCACATGTATTGAATGTCCGTCTTAGCTTTCGGATTAGAATTCGTGGTCCTCATGTATGTTCTTCAACAAAACTCCCACAAAAGGATGATTCTCATGTTCATGTTGAGGTTCTTTCAAGCTGAAGCTCATGAGGTTGACGACGTGACAGTGAGTACCGTATTGGTAGACCTGCGCTCTCTCTTTAAAGTGGTGATATTCTCCTAGCTCGGCGCGATGCTACCTTTCACATTCTTCAACATTCTCTCTGAAGTTCTCGTTGCGGGTGCGCTCTGTGCTTTGCTTCGGCATAATCGGAAGAGTGGAGCGAATGGGTAAGTATGCATCTATTATCTGGCACGAGCGTGCTGAAGTGATGGTAATCCAACCGCGACAGAGTGCGAGAAGTCGTAAGATTGCTCATCGTATACGCCATCAATCGTTGCGTTCTGGTCACGTAAGTTTTCACCGTGATCGCTCGATGTCGTGCAGCTAACAATGCGCCCAAGGATCGTATCAGTCATAGAAACGGCCCTTGTAGGTTGATTTGAGCACGTCTATCTCACTTATATACTTAGCGCAAGCCAGTTTCTCGGGTGGAGAAGTAGTTTGTGGTGGGTTACCGCTGACTTTGTCATCGGGAAGAGTGCGTATCCTTTCGAAGTCGGCGGTTAGCATTCATCCTTGCCATCAGATGCTGACTTGACGTCCACCTGTCCAGTCTGGGCCAACTCCTTCCTGGTATCGTTGAATAGCCGAGACGCCATACGAAAGCGCTTTGACGGCGGGCGAACACCAAGTTCGCTCGTGAACGCGGTCAACCTGTCGGAAGCGGGACCCTGCCCACATTCACGGAGGAGTGATGGACAACAATCCAGTAACCTCGTTCTCGGGCTGCCAAGCCAAAGAGGCAGCGAGCCAAACGCTAGTGCCAATGGCAGCCATAGAACCTATCAGAGCAGCCAGGTGAGTCCTCGAATGTGATAGGATGCGCGATGAGGATGAACTTCAGAATAGGTGCTACCGCTCGACTCGGTGGATGCTGTTTGAGAGTCGGACTAGATCAGATTCATTGATTTTACCTAGAGGGATACATGGGACACGTCCGATAAACGTTCTCGTATGATACAATTGAGCTGCGTGTATGATAAGTATAGTAAATGAGTGAAACGGGCCAAAACCATCACTACTAGTTTGTGGACAAGCGAGTCAAGTCAAGGGCAGCGAGAATACCATCGTCTTGCGCTTACACCTCACCCGCTTTTGCCTTCTTTCCCTCCTCCACCTTCCCATCGTTACCGCTAATCTTGCCCGAGATAATCTTCATCTCATTCTTGACCTTCGTCATGAAGCCACTTCTCCTGTGCTGCGATTCCCCTGATGATGTCTTACTCCCACTGCGTGTGGACTCCTCTGACTTCCTATCTTCAGCCCCGACGCTGGAAGATGATGGCCCATTCTCGTCCGCGCCCGTGGATCCGGCCGGGTTCACGGGCTCGTCGACGCCAGGACCGGTAGGCGGTGGGTGTAGGTTTGCAGGGTGGTAATCGGTGTCCTGATTCGGAGCCGACATAGCTTTCGCGGTGGTGGTCTGCGGCTTCGCCGATGTCGGATGGGGGGATGCGCTATCGGGAATATCAGGAAGGGTCTTCGGAGCTAGATGACGAGTTGACAACATGATCAGAACTCGTCTTCGCACTTATAGGGTAGGATATGAGCTGTATACCTGTGCCAGTGTCCGCTGCAGCGACGCCGGCAGCGCTCCTCTCTGCGGGTTGGGGCTTGGCGGGAGCCAAGGGCTCGGTAGCCTTGGACGCTTCTGTCGTCTACAGTCGGGAGGATGACGTCAGACATCTTGGTACTCTGCGGAGAAAACAGGAGAGATAGCAAGTAGGCGCGGCACTTCGGAACGACTTATCCCGCGAACATTCATATCGTCGGGATGGCCCGCTGATCGCATTCAGAGGTCAGAAAGGCTTGGCCTTAAAACGCCTCCGATTCGATACCGCATGGGCGGGCGGGGCTACTGTATGGCTGGGTAACTCCAGCGTGGTAGACCTACCCCGCACCCCACTGCCATCAGACGCGCAAGCCATCAGATGGAATGCGAACGTCTAGAAGATCACCACAAGCTTCCGACGAGAGGGATGCTCCAAGAAAGGACCACAGGCACACTCACCGGTTCACGAGCTTGACCGGCTGCCCTTTCATCGGGAAGAAGGGCGACACTTGACTCGTCTCTGGATCCAGGAAGAGAGCCGATGCCGATCGGAACCTTGGGACCATCCTTGATCCTACGTTCCTCAGGCAACACAGCGACGTTGTGTTCCTTGATCGACCCAGGGAGTGCTCCTACGCCAGCGGAGAGATGGTCTGAAGGCTGAGCGCCCTCTAGTTCGGTACTGGGAAGTGAAGTGCGTTTGCCCTGGGTCGCCGATCCGCGGCCGTCGGTACCGGCACGATCATCGGGCACGACGGCGACACCTCGCTCGTCGACTGAGCCTGGGAGCGCACCTCCGCCAGAGGAAAGATGTTCTGAATGATTAGCACCCTCATGCTCGGTACTGGGAAGGGATGTGCCGTTGCCTTGGGCTTCGGCTCCGCCGGCCTGACCGGGCTCTGTAGACGGTCAACGGTATTCATCCTAGTTGACGTGGTACAAAACTCACTCCAGTAAGCAGAAACAGTGTCCCTCACACCTTGAGGGATAGGTAGGTACGCAGCAGCCGTTTGGCCAGCTGTTTCTATCCCGTGCTCCACCTGATCGGGTATGTACTGCTTCGCGCTCTGGACATATTCGGCGCCAACGGGACTTCCATCGGGATTCGTGAACTTGTTGGAACCGGATGTCGTCGAGGAAGTAACATGTTCGTCGCGGTCCTTGGGGTACGATCCAGGAAATTCGGCGCCTGGAGTAGAGACATTCGAGCCTGCCGAGTGGACTTGCTGAGTCGAGCCCAGCATGGAATTGGTCCTGGATGCCCATTCGTTTGCAGGAGTCCCGGGAGAGGAAAGGTCGGGGAGAGTAGGGGGGATTACAGTGGAAGTCATGGTTGTCGTTTGCCAAAGGAGGTGGAGTTCGCGAGTTAGGAGACAGGAGTTTTATGGCGGACTCGGAATGATGTCATACCTGTCACACCTCGCCAACACCGCTTTACTCGTGGTCACCACCATTTCGTTCCTCGACTGCGCCATGATGAGATGACCTGCCTAGTCATGATCACAAGCCTCCTCCAACTCGAACAGGTGTAAAGGCCCAGATATGTTTGGCCAATATTCTTACCAAAGGGTGAGTCTCGCCTTTACCCGCCCCTATCTACCTTGACGAGGGACGCTGCGCAACATTTTGGTTCAATCGCCTATTCGGATGCGGCCCAGCTAAGCAACAAGGTTAGAAACCAGATTCACTCGCCGCAGGTACGTCACTTCATATCCTCACCACATTTCTTTCCTGAGGAGACGCCATTCACGCGTAGACATTCTCCTGTCGTCTTTGTTATAACCATTTCTGAAAGGTGTTGCGTTGGATATGGTGTTTGCAAAGCTAGTGGAGGCAAGGTGTTCGAGCGGTGGTGTTCAGGGAGTCCGGGAAAACGGGGAAAACGACGCGAGAATTTGCGACATAACCTGATTTGGTAATACGGAGTCAGCCACAGAGTCCGAAAAAATCGGACCCGCATTTTGCTTGCATGAACGCCCTCATTCCCATACTCCTCTGTTCAACGTTCAAAGTCCATAGCCTGGTGTACTTAGAGGCATAATCTCCTTATCCTATCGTTTCTCTTGAAATTCGAATGCATCTCAAGCCATATATGCAATGTGTCATGGCGGAGACATGTGTGCGTTGATCGTGGCGATTCGCAAGTTTCCTCCCTCATACGTTTCTGCTTGCTGAGCGGCCCTCTGCTATTGTTTCTCAGGGATAAAGAATGGAAGGCCGCGATGCGTCGCTGAAGGGCCGTCAAGTATCGGCGGCCTCGTTGTACGGCCGCTGAGTAAACGCTGAAGATATTTTCATTCGAAGAAGTGTTGCTATGGGACGTAAATCTCACTCGCCACAACTCTGGAGCACGTCTCCGTCCCATGCACTCCCACCGATGGGGATCTGCAGATGTTATGCTTCCGAGCAACCGGATCGATGCCTTCCAGGGACTATCTGGGACTTCTTTCAACGTCTCGCGGAGTAACGGAAGGCAATGGTGTCATTTCCACCAGCGATGAAATTCCCTGTATATCTCGTGAGCTCAACGGTAAGACGTTATCCAGTTAGCCGCGATGTTTTGTTCATCACTTCGCACAGATGTTCAAATGGTGTACCAACACCGCGCGGATAGGCTTAACTTATCATGTCGCCTCGGTGGTAGGGTCTGACAGATACGTGCATCTGGCAATCACCCACAATGCACAGGTTTGTGCCCATCGTCGCATGCTTTTTAACGCAGGTATTCATAACAGCGTCAATCAAACAAATAGCTGCCAGCGAGATTATTATCTTTTCGTCGGCTGAAATATCACTGAAGATTACATCCAGGCGATTCCAGGTTTGTAAGCACAAAAAATGTCTGCCTCATCCCACCCTATGGTCAGCTCGCTCCCACTCTCCCTACATAGAAGCACCAGCCATTGCGCTATTACCTTCGCCTTCTTTGATTGGAGACAAGCCGCGGTCGAGTAAAGCCGGCTCCATTAGCATGGTCTTCTTCGCTGAAGAAACCATGCTTCTTTCTCTCGTGGCACGAGATTTGTTTTAACAATTTGTATCTCGCCATTCCGGCTCCCTTCGTTGGACCACGGGGCCCGAGCAAGTCGATCTATCTCGTTTCCACGCGTGCTATGTATATCACGTCATTCTGTCATTCACTATCTCAAAGGAGGCTTCGCTCACTTATATCAGGTTTGAACCTTCTCTTCCTTCGAGGTGAAACGCTAGTACGAAGCTGTCTTATGGGGTGCGTGGTCGCGATCCGCTGTGTAGGTCCCAATCCTCCGGCGACCATTGGCCCTACCTCCACGTTCCATCCACTTATATTAGCCTTCCGCGTCTTCCGCGGCACATATTCTGGCATGGCGGTGTCTTAGGGAAACGGTGGATGGCCGCCGTTGTAAGAGGCTATGGGCTCACTTAATTGCCCATTAGGGTGATCATAGGGATTTACAGTCTCGTTCTGCCAATCGATCACAGGAGGATCTCCTGCGCGTTGACACAGGTGAAATAGGGGTGTCGACCACTCTGTAATGACTCCGACATGCGAACGCAATTCATCATATCTACACAGGGAGTTGCGGGCGAGCTTACTGACTGTATACAAGTATGTGGGGCATGCGAACTTTGTTGTTCTGTCAGTACGCCTGTACCTTATCCCCATAGATGTACCCCTGACATAGAACGTTTAGGCTTATCAGTGAGACTAATAGACAATGTAAGTTTAAGCACATTGTTTTATCTGCCTCTAAGTATCTCACATGTGCGTGAACAGTCCAAAGATGCTGTGAGATTTGAAACCTTGTTATATCTGATTAATAACGGATACATGGAGAGAGAATGAGAAGTCCGGTCCGACGTCGCCCCTCGGGGCTGGACCCGAACAGTGATTCGTCGTCATCTCTACGGAGGCCAGCTACAGTACGTCTGCTGCGCGGGCGAGTTCGCATTCACACTGACATGGTGGGATGTGCTTGGCATGGTCTTAGGGCCCAGAAGCAGTTCACGGCATTGCTGCCGGTGGGAGTCCGCGCTCCTCTTCTGACTTCGCGCATCCCGTCTTCCTCAATTGTGACGAACTTTGTGGCGCAGATCCTCCTATGTCGTTGTTCTATCTTTAATCTATGCTCTGGCTCATCCTTTGAAACAGCCTACGCTAGAATCACAACGTCAATTCCAGCTAGTTTAGCCTGTTCAGTAATGTTGGCTAATATGTCAAAGAAGCCTATTCTCCAATTAGCATGGTCCAATTCTCGAAGTCTAGCTCAGAGTGCAATAGAGCAATACCAAAGCTCAGAGCCCTTTCAATTCAGTTGCAGCCAATGTGAGTCGAGGAAGGCCCTTCAGCCTCTCATCAATAATGCCCATATGCTCGTGTAAAAACCTTTACCAGGTTTGAAATGATTTACTTGCGAACGTACCCTCGTGCGTGAGTATGAACTAGATGCTCACAACGGTTCTGACTTCGCGATCTAGCTGTTGAAACATAGCAAGATTATACGGAGCCAGCACATCGTGAGATTGACACGGCCCAAAAATAGACATGTATGACCTGCCATCTTTTAAAAATGCCAGTTAGTCATTAGTGTCACAGCGTCCTACAAAAACGGAGTTCACAATGATCCAAGTGATCAGCAACCTATCAACTGCCGTCAAGCTACGTTGTATCCGGACAAAACCGCATTGTACCTGCTTCACCGTATACCTATTGATAGATTGTACTCCGACTTTACCCATCATCATTTGATCGAATTCATCTGACCTGGGATTGGGTATGCGCGCAGACGACCCGAATGGCGGGATACGTCCGGACATAATAAGATGCGTACGGATGTATGGCTTGCTCTGGCCGCGTCTATGTGGCCGCGTTCGAGTGTGAGATGCCTGGGGCGGCCTCCCGAGATCCTGCGCTCACGTGGAGAAGCCACGCATGGGCACGACGGTTCGCGGACTCCGAACAGCTCCAACTCTCGAGCGAATTATGCTCAGCGATGGCTCAGTGCGCCGCCCTGTGCGTACCGCCCCGGATGTTGCGGTGGTGCATCATGCCATTGAGTATGAATGGACATCAGCTTCAATAATCTCGCGACACAGAGGTTGATTAAGGATAAAGAGCTACTACATGATACACGATGGCGTTGCAAGACACAACAGGATAAATCTATACATATAGGTATCACAAAACTACGCGGAAGCTGTTTAGTACACGCCTATCCTCAGCAGACAGGGGTTGATAGTTCGTGCTAGGAGCAGGGTGGCCAAGGCGAACAGCAGCGTTCTGGGTATCATCGGGTCCCGCTGTGAGGGCTGATATGCTAGGAAGAGTGACGCCTGGATGTCGACTTCTCGGTCCGTCCGCAGTGATCGCAGCCGATGACTGGGGTGGCGGCGCACCAGCGTAAGAAGCGGAGGACGAAGTAGATACGGATCTAGACGTCTCTGAAGACGACGAAGATGGATATGGGTACTGCCCCACATATGGCAGTATCGAAGAGTCACCGGCGATGAACGACTCCCGTGGGTCGGGCGCGTACGAGTATCGGTCAGTCCTGAGACCGTTGGCTTTGCTAGAGACGAACACGCCCTCCGGGACACGGATATTTCTCAGGTAATCGTAACTTTCTATGACAGGAAGACGAAGATAGTCATCGCCCTAAAAACGATATGAATAAAGGTGTTACGATTTACTATCTGGATGATGCACCCACCGCAAAGTACGCAACTACATGCCATTTCCGGGGTTGGCTAGAGCCTGGGAGGTACACAAGAGCTGAATACGTCTGCTTCGTGAGACCGTTTGGTCTGTTAGGTCGGTCTTTCCGTCTGTTCGTGCTTGGAGGGACAGAAGCAGGATCTGAAGCCCGTTTTGCTCTAAACACCAAACGATGTCAGGGTCAGGTTGCCTGATCGTGTATGATAATCACTGACCTCAAGGCTGCTTTGGCCTCTTTTTCTTCTGGCGTAGTTTCCATCTTCTCCTCGTAAAAAAGATAATCTCCCCGCATGCGGCTTTGCGACCTTGAGCAGAACATATGTAAGCGAAAGCGGGATGTGCCTAATCACCGCGGCCGTTGCTTACCATCTCCGCCCGTCAGTCCATCGCAGCAAGCCTCCATCGTTCTCGGCCTCTTCCCATACGAAAACGTTACCGGAGGTTAACGTCTCCCTCTCGCTCGCGGTGAGACGCCTTCGAATTAAGGGGAGCATATTGACTCGAACGGCTTCGAGAACTACATGGGCATCACGACCGTCCCTGACGTCTGGTAACGAAGATGGTGAGCTAAGTTTAGTCTTATGCAGATGTTGGTAAGCGGCATACGAAGTGTAGGGTGCGTTGGGGGACCAAGGTGGCCTACGACGGACGACGATCTGAAGGACATGGCGAAAGGGCTGATGACTTGAAGCGGCCAGTTTCCTCGGAAGCGATTTATAGAGGACATGGAGTCGCGGGGAAACCTGTTATCTCAGCATATGGACATTCACACTACGTGTGGACATCATGTCGACCGTCTGGAGTTGGAAGCAATCGGAGTGAAGGAGAGGTTCTTCCTGAAGAATGAGCGTGTAGGAAGAAACGACCGCCAAAAGTGGGTCCCTTTCGCAAGCGCTCTGCCTCGTCCCTGTTTAGGTTGACAGCAGTACAGCATGTAACCGGAGATCATGCGTAAACGTGGATAAAAAGAAACTTGACATGGGACAAACCTTAATAGAAAGGGCTACCCAGGAACCGGCAGAGAGGAACTGCTGTTGGATCGGGTGTCGGTCGAGTAAAATTAACACTGACTGACAAGCAGCGGTTAGCCGGTGTTCCGACAGAGAAGGTAACACGCAGCGTTTCTTTCCCACACGAGTCCTCGCCTGGTAAAATTGGACTAAATCATTTGCCTTGGTTTACCCAAAGGATATGTTCTCTGCTGCGTCTTTCAATCCGCCTAACAATGGCAGTCTCTTGGCATCGGGGGCTCCCGGGAATCAGCTCAAAGGTTTCGTCAGACTTGAGCGCTCCAGGACGGGGAGAGTCGAGGATCGCGCGTATCCCCATATGTCCGGCGGGAGACTTAGGAAGGCGTATGGCAATCAAAGACAAGCAAATGCAGCATGTCGGTGATCACTGCAGTTCCGGTATCGCCCCAAGACTATGGGCGATCTCGGGGAAATGGTATTCAGTAACGAATTGTGGGTTCATGCAAAGTCAATAAAAAAGGTGACCTTGACCTTATCATGATTTGGTCACGGGTGTTGCGCGGAGGTGTAGGAGCAATATCAAGTTTCCCGTTTGTCCCAGCTGTGTCCCTGATGCAACTTACCGAGCGTTGGCTCACGATTTGGGTTCCCGAGCAGGGACGAAAGGTTACGTATTGTACTTGCGGAGCCGCGAGTCTGTAGTACCGAGGGATGCAAGTCGCCTTGGGGAGTATTTAACCATAAGAGGGGATACAGCGTCGAAAGAAAAGACGACTATCACCGACTGATCATCGTTCAGATGGTGGTAGTCCAGCCGGCGGCATCAACCACACGTCAATCGCACAAGCAGCGGCACCAGCGGCAGCACTGACAAACGTGGGAAATTCATGATGGTTTAGGGGCGTCCTTTCACCGTCTCACACGTCACTGGCCACTGGTGGCAAGGTACATGGAAAGACGTAAAGGCACCATGCTCATTCTACGAAAAATACGATTTACTTCTGATCCAACGTAGCTTCAATACACTAAGCATGACGGTAAGATAATCGGCTTCTGTCTTCTATGATTCGGACCGATGATATCTTTCAGATGATCATGCTCTCTGAACCATCAGAGCGTCCGTCACTTATGACATCACTGTAACAGGAGGCGTGCGTGTCCACGGAAGATTATGGTTTGTTCGCCTCTTTGACTACTGCAGCTTCATTTGCCTTACTCGACTTCTCTTATATGCCTTCCGAAAACTACGACGAACATATTTGGCCAGGAGAACAGCAACTTGAACTCGCCTCTGACCAGGCAAGCACCGAGACCGAGGGAGAGCATACTTGGAAGAAGCGACCCCCATATCGCATTCATGAGGAAGGTGAACCCTTCCCGGTCAAATACCGCGGGAGCTGCCACTGTGGTCTCGTGAAGTATCAGCTGGGGAGGGAAGCTCCGTTAGATAGCAAGCTGTGCCATTGCACGACTTGTCAGACTCAGCATGGTATGTAATGTAACTCGGGTGGGGATTATACAGACTGATCTAGGTTGTATCATCACTCCCTAGCTGCGCCCTTTCAATGGGCAGCCATCTTCCATAAAGATGACATCAATTTCACAGACGGCCACCACAACCTCGAGTGGTATAATCCGAGTGACAAAAGCATCGAGAACAAGCTGCCGTGTAAAGTGCGCTGCTGCTACTGCCACTCGCCCATTATGGACGAAGGGCGTAACATGATCTTGCTCTTTCCGAGCCTGATCCATTTTCAGAACGATGAAGACAAGGCCAAGTTTAGACCGAGATGCCACATATTTTATAGTCAGAGGTGAGAGGTTCGCGTTTCCGGTAAGAAGCTTCTCCGCGATACTCAACCACTTTAGGGTCGTCGATGTTCCGGATAACCTACCGAAGGTGAGCGCGTACCATGTGTCTCCGCCCTCTCCGTGCTAAGGACTAACATAATTCTTTAAATAGTGGACGGGACTGAATGAAGTCAGCGAGCTAATGGAGGGACCAGATATGAGCTAGAGTTTGGTTCATTTTAGTACTAGCACATCCAAAACGAGCATTTAATTCAGTCTTGATGGCACCATACCAGTCAACAGACTGCAAATGTTGTAGCTTGTGCTGTCCATGTGAGCTCGAGACTCCGCCCGCTGACGGTAATAACCCTTAGCTAGGGCCTCGGTGAGAAAGGCCCCGAGTCTATTTCGTCAATTTGTCAAGCGGGCCGCTAGGACCGTCTGGATCCTAGGCAACAATATTCTGTCTCCCAAGTTCGAGCATCATTAGCAATATACTTAGCTTGTGTGCCTCTGCAATAAGAGAAGGTTCGTTTTACAACTACGAGCACACGTCGAATTTGACTGAGTCTCGGAACCCCCCCCCCCCCACAATTTCTACGTGGAATTTCTATAGGATCATCATCGGGTACCTGATTCATTGTGGCCGGACATGTTTGGTTCCGCCGTGCCTAAATCTTGCACTATTATTAGAATCGACAGCGCAAGAATAGTTACTAGAAGAGCTAATAAAAGAATAGGCGACACAATCATCCGTCGTGACCAGGACTCAGTTGGATTACCTGTAAGTGTGCGCTTTCTTAAATGGACCCTGTCTCACGAGACAGACACCATGAGGTGCCGACTTTGCCTTATTGGCTCAGTGTATCTGTCTATTCATTCGCTAAGGAATATCTCATCGGACCTTCTGAGAAAGATCTTGTTTTACCAACATTTGAGATTGAGGGCTGAGAGGGAGGCATGCGGAACCTCCATCACTGCTTTTGAGGGTCAAACAGAGTTGATCAACCAAACCTCATCACACGGTCGAGTATTTGCCCGCGACAACGCGGTGTTAAAGACTCTGTTAGTACTTTTGTCTTGTGGTTCTGTTACTCCGCGGCATAGTGCTTTTGAGCTGATCTGTACATCCGGCACTGACTCGACACAACACGGCATGACGACGCCAGCGCCGACAAGGTTTGACACATTAAAGGACGATAGAACATTCCATCAGCTCACCATTGCTTACCACTGGTATAGTAAGTCAATCTTTTCTGATCGAGAAATTCGCGAAAGGGTGCGCAGCAGCGTTATCTAGAAATGACCTACAAAACAGCCCATATGAGGTGTTATTATAAGCACAACAATATGCCGAACATACCTTCTCCTCTGCCGACTTGGAAGCGTCTACGTGCAGTACTATGTGAATACCTGTGTCGGGTGTCGTGATGACCAGATGGCAGAAAAACTCCTTTGCTGCCGAAGCGCCGCATCGCGTCGGCAAATGGAAGGCCTGGGAAACACTCCTCGTCAAAAATCCTCGAGTGATTTGATACAAGCTGGAGAAATGGACAGGTCTGGGAAAGCCTTCATGGCAGAGGTTTTGATCGAAGAGTCAAGTCTCAGGGGCGTGGATCACCGGTGGTGATCTGTAGTGATATGCTGGGGCGCGATGTATCCGTGCCGTCGGGAATGACGTGCTAGCGTCGCAACTTGCCTCGACGCGAGACCTGTCCAAGACAGGATCACCGTCGACTATTTTTTCGATTACCAGCGGCGAACATGACTGAGTACAGTTTTGGACAGCAATTGTATGCTCCGAACATCCAATCATCGAGAGGATTGTGCCACCGAAGGGAACCGCGATGGTGCGGGAACGAAGATGAAGCGTTCGTCATATTAAATTTGGCGCATCGTAGCGGGGACAATATTAGCATCCACCTGTGTTTGTGAAGAGAAAGGCGTAATTTGATCAAGAGTACCGCACCAGATAATTCGATGGCATCGCCGCCTACCTGACACAGTCCTCACGAAGCTGAGAACTTCTTGGAAGCACAGATCAATGGTTTCTGCCCGGCTTGGGAGTCTCGAGTTACGTCATGGAAGGAAGATACCCTAACGTCCCTTGCTGTACGTGTATACTGACAAGGGGTCTAGCTTATCACGCATATAAGTAGCATCGAGCTCAGAATCAGCCAGGAAAAGAGGGTCACGTACTTGCCCGCACTTTGGCAAACGCCGTCGAGAAGTCGCGAGCACCCGCTCTACGGAAAGTTTGCCCTTGCTACGCCTCATGCGCGATCATTTGCAAATGATCGGATGAGAACAGGTCGGCCGTGTGCTCGCTCCCATAATATTTAAGTTCGTGGTTCTCGCAAGGTTGAGCCTGGGTACAACCGTCGACGCAGAGCCGCGGAGTCACTCGCCTGGAGACTCACTGCATACGTCGTGCCGACAGTGAAGTATCTCGGCGGTTCGCCTGCGAGATATAAACCAAGGATTTGAGACGCTGATGAGTTCAGCTTGACATCATCGTGATGCAAAGGTTGCAAACAATTTTTCTTCTGAGAAACGTGTCTCTCTCTATTTTCGAGGGCTCGCTGTGTCATGGTCCCGCAAGTCCAAGGAATCCCTCTAGCACCTCGTCCTAGTCACATATACACCTTGTCAGGAACGGTACATTGCTGTGAGTTGTCGATGTGTGCAGCTTTCGCGTTGTATCACGGTCGGTTTGGAGGTGAGCTGGCGCAAGTCAAGTCAAACATCCTGATCGGCACAGCGAGGACGCCCATCTGATACGATGCTCTGGTGGGAAAGATCGTCAGATCAGTGAAAGTGCTTATGAAGCACGGTGTGGATCTAAGCACCTGGTGCGTGGAAGGTACTGAGCTTCAGAACCAGGACTTGCAACATCGGACGGTGACGATGTTTTGTAACACGAGGGAGCTAAGTGCCAGAGTCCCGTGGACAGCAAGACGTACGAGGAGTGAAGAGACTCGACGGTCAGAGAACGATGCCGTCCAATATCAAGCTGAGCTTTGATCTGAGGAGTTCATTGGGTGTAAAACAAGAACAGTGTTTTTGCTGCTTGATCCAGAGGAACTCGATAGAACGGATCATGAGAAACCGGCGAGATGGCGGTGTGATCGGAAAATTCGGAACTGACTCGGAGGGCATAGGCGGGTACAAACCCATAAGGTGTTACTGTCATACGGCCTAGCTCAAGGTGTACATGTGGGGACTCGGACTATTCGTTTGCGGGCGAGAATGTAGCGGATGGCTACACGCGCACCGTCGAGAGCTTGAGGGTATCAAACGAACAAGTGTCTGAAGCAGCAGTTCAGTTCTTTGGGCCCTCAGTGATCCTGTCCATCGTTTGCGTCATAATGGGCTGGTCATTATGACAAAGTGTATAGCACTTACTTGTCCCTCTCTAGTCGTCTGACCAGTCTTGCATGCATATATGCATGTGCAATTGAGCGTACACGTTCCGGGTTTTGATCTGGGTAGCTTGTGCCGGTGGACGTGGGCCAAATGTGGGGAAAGGCGGAGAACCGCCGTCGCGCTATAGAGCCCGATGTCACCCACAGCGGCACTGGACCCGCTTGCTGACCGTCATTCACAATGACATGGATACCCCACTCTTGAGCTGGCAGCGCGACTCACCTGTCTGATCCCTTTCTCTTCACCTCCCACCATCGTCTGAACGGTCTATCTTGATCCCGTACTGTGTAACCCTCTTCTCAACGTGCGGCCTCCCAATTGGTGACCAACACCCCCGGCGCTCTCGGAGAAACCTTGCAATTTTGTCACTCGTCATCCAACCCCGAAACAGACACAAGACATGGCCCAACCTTTGCCGGTAGAGTCTCATCAGACGTCCACCACGATGGACACATCCAATCCAGAGCTCGGCACTGTTATGCAAGACAAGTCGCTCTCCAGCATGCCTGATCCCCCGCCCGTGAAGGAACCGTACAAGGTTTCAGAGGCCCTCGACGACATCTCGTGCGTGACGTGGGCGCTTGACGAGTTCCTGCACTCGAGGATGGTGGAGTCAGAGGAGTACTGTCATAAGAGTGATCCGTCCAAGTGAGTATATGTGCTTCTTCATCTCGGCCAACCACTGAACGCTGAGTCGGTGCTGAATAGGCAGCGAATGTACTTTGCGACTGGCTATGGCTTGATTCAATTCGTGAAGGGTCTGATGTCGTATGAAGATAAGGTGTGTTGAGCTTCTAGGCATCTTGATGGCCCTAACGTAACGGGCTCATCCATCCTGTGCAGGACCTGCTGTCGGCCATTGGGCACACCCGACATGGAAATGCGATTGCCAGTCAACATCGTAAACGCCAGTCGTCAATGGCATCACGCCTCGCGGGTTATGTCGTCTCCTCGTACAGCACGTCAGGCGTGGAATGGATTCAGGATATGACTCCGGTTGAGCGCCATGCCGAGCTCACGTATGCAGAGAGTTTATTCGAGAAGGTGAGTAAAGCTTGTCTGGGCGATGACTTCGCCCCTGCTAATAACACGCCCATCAATTCGCTTAGTCCCTTCTCGGCATCGTCTATTCTGGAGACTGGTTAGCTTTCATCAAAGAGATGTGCGCTATACCTTGCTCGCCCTGAGAACGCAACAACTAACTGTAATGGGCACTCAGCCTGAACATGCGGACCTTGATGAACATCTATCGCCAGCTGTGGAAGTTCATCGAAACGGCTGACGCAGCAGCTGCTGCTCGCGGCGAAGGGCCCGAGGACAAGTCCATCGATGTGCACTTCCGCTCCGGTGTATACCTCGGCATTGGCGTGTCGAATATGATCCTCAGCCTAATCCCCGGCAAGCTCCTGGCGATAGTGGAGCTCTTTGGGTACAAGGGCGACCGGAAGTTTGCCCTCCAGATGCTACAGAAGGCCGGTGGTTGGACTAAGGACTCCGACCAGCCTGGCATCGGCAGAGGTAAGCCCCAATTCTAGTCTCTAGTTTCGTCGTTTCATGCTAACACATCACTTAGAGGAAGAAGGGGTCCGTCGCGCGATATGCGACATGGCCTTACTCATCTTCCATCTCGTCTTATCGAGCTTCACCTTCGACGGTGTCGACATCGACATGGCTCAGAAGATCTTGGACTGGAACCTCAGGCGGTACCCGACTGGTGCGTGTTACTCCTCTTTTCAACTCAATCATCGTTGAGGCCTTGAGACTAGGCGTCTTCTTCCTCTTCGGAGCGGGGCGCCTGTCCCTCTGCCGCAGCCAGCCGGCTCGTGCGATCGCTTACTACACTAAGGCCCTCGAGACACAGTCGCAGTACCGCAACCTGTACCACATATCGTGGTGGGAGATCGCCATCGCCAATTTGGCGCTCTGGAACGTCTCAGATTCGCTTGAGTGCTGGACGAATCTGCAAAAGGAGGCGACCGTGAGTCGACCCAAGTCCATTTCCCTGCTCAAGGGCTGACAAAGTCGGTGCATCGCCATGTAGTGGTCGAAGGCGTGCTATACCTACGGTATGGCAGTCTGCCTAGCCGCACAGGGCAAGCAGAAGGAAGCCGCCGAGCTCTTCAAGAAGGTGCCCGGTTTGCGTCAGCGGATCGCCGGAAAGTCTATACCCCTCGAGGTCAGCCACATTGCGCATCCCCAACTCACTATATGTGTGCTCAACAATTACCATTGCTCACTGCACACACAGAAATTCGTCGCCCGCAAAGCCCGCAAATTCGAGACCCAGGGCGGCCGGCTCGCCGTGCCCGCACTAGAGCTCGCGTACGTCTTCCTCGCGATCGCGCACGCCCCGCGAAAGATCATCCACGAGAAGATGCTTCCCGATGTGCAGGCGCTGCAGGCCAAGCTGAAGGAGCACGAGGCGAACCCCAAGAAGTACGAGAACGGGCACGGGTACTGGGACGACTACTGCCTCGCACATCATCTTGAGGGGGTGTGCTACCGGTTCCTTGCCTACCCGGTATGTAACCGTTGCAGTCTTGTAGTATACTGTGACATACAACTAACCTTATTATATCATGACAGGACCCGGATGCCAGGTTCGAGGACGGGGAAGAGGAGATTATCCAGACAAGCTTCGATGATGCGAGCGAGCGGGCATCGAAGGCGTTCCAAACGGTCTTTGCCAAGGGGACGAAGATCGAGCTCGATCATCATATCGTTTACTTCGCACGTGTGTATCCCCCTTTTGTCCCGACTTCTCGTCCGGATTCTAACCTGCTTGCTGCCTTGTAGACTTTGAGTATGGAAGGCTGCTGGCCCGGTCTGGAGACAAGGAAGGTGCGCGTGCACAGTTTGACATGGTCTTGTCGGGTAAGCCCTTGGTTTTCTTTTGCTATCGTGACGTTCCTCATGGGGTCGCTACAGGTAAACCTCTGGAAGTCAATTCGGCAGGCAAGAAGGTAAGCTGGCCCCATCTTTCAGCGCGGCTGCTTGCTAACTCCCATACTCGCACTTGTAGGGGAAGTACAGCCTCGAAAACGCCTTGCATGTGCGCACCCACGCAGCCTTGGAGGCTTTGGACCGCGACCGCCTACTTTAACCATCTATACCCCAATCTTTGAGCCACAGAATTTACGCGTCAATTTCAGTATCTAACCATTTATAGCCCTATCTTATGCAGTATTTTTGGACTTGGTTCTCTATACGCGAATAGGCTAGCTTTCCCCGATGTTGTTGTAGTGAGCTTTCTAGTCATAGGGTGGAACGCAACTACAAAGTCATACCATATGTACAATACCTTGTTGTTTTGAAACTTCTTTCTGATACGCTGTCTGCTACACGATGCCGATCATCTTTGAATTGGTGTTGTAAATACGCCTCAAGAGGCTGAGAATTATTACTCTTACAAGAGGGCGATCGCTTTGGTATTACTACTGATGAGACGGGTATCGTAAAGTTATGTTTACGCTGCTAATACATACAATGCCAAGATATGCGTAACGGTCATGAACGGTCATACAACGTCAAGATTCCTACAAGATGAAGTGAAATAGATACAATCTCAAGAATCACGGTTGAACGCCAGCGTGTCCGTTAAAAGGTTGAAAATGGCAACGAAAGCAATAGAACACAACGAGGCGACGACCAGAGCTACGATCCACAATATCTGCGTTTCACTTGTATCGGTGAGGTTGATAACGTTGTAAGCTCGATCGGGGCCTCGGCCCATAACGCTCGAGTTACAGTAACAGTTGTTGAACACGTTGGAGAACTGCAGGATGGGGATCGCACAGAGGATGAGGCTGTTGAGAACGGCGAGCGCCTTGCCGCTCCACCGGAGGACGTCAGCGACAGTTTTCCAGGTGTGGAAGGCGGCATCGCGGTAGCGCTTGTGCTCGTTCCAGTGAAACGAGGAAGCATGGTGGGCCGCGATGCTTGAAGCGAGCATTAGCATCCAGATGATGGTCGATAATGCTCCGTAAATGAGGTATGAGAACGAGCGACAGCCGAGTTTCTAGAATCATGATGTTAGCGCTCGTCATAGCCCAGGCGACGATTCCTAACTCACCGTGGTGGGCGTAAACCAAACCATCATGACGGCTCCGCCTGTCGTTCCCCACTGAAGCATCAATCCAGCTACGGACGCGAAGACTATCCGACCCCAGACCCCAGAACCCCAGGAACTCGGCTCGAAACGCATGCGACCACAGTACATCTCGACATCGTATGGCGCCCCATGGCGATTACCCGGGTGTATACTCTCACCGTCACCGACCTCCCACTCACGTTCGGGGTCTACAGGCTTATGTACAAAAGCCCGTTTAGAAGCATACTGAAAAGCGCGTAGAACCTCCTCTGCAGAACGGGACCACCCGAAGACGCGCGAGTAGTTGAAGATGGGCGGCGTGGCGTCTTCATCAGGCGACATCACGTCCTCCATCGCCTCAGGACCAATCGAGATGGCGCGTTCCTCGGTGAGCTCGCCAACTTTGACACTGCCATGGTGCGTAGCTATGTATGCCTTTGCCTCAGAGTGGTCAAAAGCACGGCTGAGCCGGTCGAAATCACATTTGGGTGACAGCTGCTGCCATCCAATTACCACAGGGATCAGCCACAAGAAAGCAGTGCCGATGCTCTGCCCCACGGAGTCAATATTATCGTTGACGTTGGCGAGCGAATCTGCGACAGTGAGCGCGTAGGCGACGATAACCCAAGCGATGGAAACGGCGGCGGAGATGGACCACGTGTTCTTGTAGTTGAGGGACTCGGAGAACTCGGACCACCACTGGTCGTTTTCCGGAAGAACGACGAGAGAGGAGAGCATAGCGCTGTGGGGGTTGACACGGAGGGGCACCTGCTGCAAGTTGGAGAGTACTCGGGCGGCTTGAGCTGTGTTCGGGAACTTTCTAACGGACTCAAAGGACTGGCTGATCCATCGGGTGTTGAGCATGGTGCAGAAGAGTGTGTAGCCAGCGAGAGTAGGGGAGCCCGCGGTGAGCACCGCTGACATGAGGTTATCAGAGCGATACCGTGCTCCGAACGGGAGTTGGGACAAGAGGGCGAGATAAGGAAGAAGCCAAGCGCTGAACTGCTGTGAGAAATTGGTCCATTCGAAGCTCTCGTCGCCAGACCCACACCAGTTAGTGCACACTGTATAAGTAATAGCGGTGGAAGTGAATATATCGGCGAACGCCACCGGGAACCCATTGTTGTCCAGTAGACTATTGTTGAGCTGCGAGTAGTTGGCGTACTTCTGGTTGGACGTGTCGTTATAGAAGTTTTGGACGTTAGCCAAGCAGCTGGTGAAGTTGACCCCGCCAGCCAGCGCTCGTGATGTAAAGAGCATCAGGAGGGAGGCGACTACAAGGCCTGTGTTTTTCAGTAAGGTGAAAACCTAGACAGCATAAGTACTCACCTGCACGCTTATCCATCTCGGGGAAAAGTTGTGTATAAGTAGTGGTAAGCTTCGGATGAGCCGACGGTAACAGCGGCTATGAAACTGTCATGCGGATGCGATATTTGGGACTAAGGAGAGAGTGAGAGGGTGAGGCGGGGGACATTTGCGAGTCAGTATTTATGCAGAGTCGGACGCGCAGCCAAGGAGCAGATATGCCTCGCTTCGGGTTCCTAGGCGTCTACAGCATTCACAGCCTCAACAAGCTGGCGAAACCTCCTCCCCTGCCAAGCCGTGGGGAAATACCCCGGTGTGGCCTTGGAAAAGTCGCCGGATAAGCACAGCCTGTCCAAAACGCCACCGTATCAAGATCTCGTGACCTCAGGAAACCAATCAGAGTTTGGCAAGCACATTGATTCGTCCCTATTAAAAACAGCGGTCAGGACTTGATAAGGACCTTTTCGTGTTGCCCCACGAGGTCCTTTACATCAGAAAGTCCACAAAGACCAAGTGTTATGTCCAGGTCGCACAGCGTCTGCATGAGAATCTGCTCCACACCCACATCACCAGCAATTGCCAGCCCATACATAAAGGGTCTCCCGACTTGCCCGAGCGGAAGGGACGGGTTTAGCACCTTGCATTCTAGAAGACGCCAGCCAACGAGTAAGGGGCTTACTCACTTAGCACGGCCTGCGCACCCAACGCTAAAGCCTTGATGATATCGCTTCCTGTTCGGATCCCTGAGTCGAACAAAATTGCCATCTTGCCTGTTCGCTGTGCTGTCAGAACCTTCTTGGACGCCATTATTGTGGCAAGCGCATCCAATGCAGGGATCGCGCCATCGACTTGACGACCACCTGATAAAAACAATGCAATTGTTTTAGCCATCGTTAGAGTGGATAGTAGTTACTGCATGGGCTCACCGTGGTTGGACACAACAATCCCATCTACACCGATGTCGATTGCCTTCTCTGCATCCTAACGACCAACATCTCATCAATCCTCGAAAACTCGGCATGATCGGACGGCACCCGCAAGCACCCACATCGACAGCCAATATTCCTTTCAGAACGACCGGTCCATCCCAAAGCTTCTTGATGACCTCGAGATCCTCCCACGTCCTAAATGCACCACAGAACATTTCCTTCCCCCACTCTGCACCGAACCTGATCGCTTCTTGTGCCTTCGCATCGCCTGCCGCCGCCGCCGCTCTGAGGTCGTCCTGCACAAACGGCCAGGCAGGCTGCTCGTGCCGGGGCTCGAGCCCATGCCGCGCCATGAATACGGGATCGGCAAGCAATGTAGAGACGCCGAAGCCGTGCGCAGCAGGCAGATAGGGCGTCCCATTGTCGTACGGGCGCCAACCACGCATCATCGTGTCGACGGTGATCACGAGCACGGAGAACCCGTTTGCCTTTGCGCGAGAGAGGATCGAGATCGAGATCTCTTCCGTGCGTGGCCTAGTTCGATTCGGGACAAATGAATGCTTGTCAATGAAAGTGGAGAATTAACCAGGAACAAGGGGTAAGCATACCAGTACAGCTGGAACCAGCGTCGCCCGCCAGGCCCATTGGCCGCTGCGATGTCCTCAAGTGATCTGGTGGACCCGTTACTCAATACGAGAGGAACACCGACTTTGGCCGCGGCGCGTGCAGTGGCAAGCTCTGCCTCCGGATGGACCATTCCTTGATTGCCCACAGGCGCGACAAGCACTGGCGAGGGGTATTTGATTCCAAATAACTCAGTCTATCCCAGCATAGCCCGGTCAGTGACCCATGTACTTGTTGGAATCCACCGTAGGCCGAAGGCGCTTACCTCGAGATTGCGCACCCCGGCGTTTACTAGGGCCCTCGGAATCAGCTTCCATTTTCTGAACGCTGCGTGATTGTCCTCTTGTGTCCATTCGAGACCAGCACCGGTCTTCACGCTCCAGTACGCCCCTGTGAGTATGCGTTGAGTCGCCGTCGTACACAATAAGCGCGGTAAACGCACAGGGACTGCTGGCCTCTGTGAGAACCTTCTTCGCCCTTTCCTCGATCTCGTCTAGGTCCAGCGTCCCGAGCGGAGGTGGCTTGCCCGAGTTAAACAGATCGCGCATCCATGTCACCCACCTGCTAGGCGTAGGGGCGATCGTTGTCATGCTAACAACCAGGAAGCGCCCGTGTCATTCTATTGACGCAGCTGCAAAGGTATATGTAGGAGACACGACCTCACTTCCCCGCTCGTGTCTTCCCATGCGCATCCAGACGGGTGGCCATTACCAGCGAGTGGCCCCGTACTGGGAGACTGAAGCGGTTCATATGACAAAACACATGATCCATTGTTTCCTTAGCCTATAAATATATTTAACGCCGACCGCGCTTTCTACGCGTAAATGAGCCATGGCGACGTCGAATGCATTTTCCATGACATACCGCACTTTATCCCGCAAGCATTGAAACCAAAAACTGAGGCAATCAATAGTCAGACTTTATCAACACCCTCTCCCTCTTCCCAATCAAGTCCTTTACGGACGAATATCCAATCAATCCTAGCGTGATGTGCATATCACAAATCGTTTGCATCAAGATCTGCTCGACACCGTCCTGACCCGCGATCGCCAGGCCATACATGAACGGCCGGGCAACTACACAGAAAGCGAGACAATACCCCGAGTTAGCATTGGACCCACCAATATTCATCAGAGGGATGAGGAACGACGTACTGAGGACAGCCTGTGCGCCCATGGCAAGGGCCTTGATGACGTCACTCCCGGTACGGACGCCCGAGTCAAAGAGGATCGTAAGTTTGCCGTTCCGCTGGGCCTCGACCACCTTCGTAGACCGGGTGATCATCTCCAGCGCGTCGAGCGAGGCTATCGCGCCGTCGACTTGCCGGCCGCCTGCCCGGCACGTCGGCGTGAGTCACAGACGAAGGGCGAGGAAGGAAAAGTACAAACCATGGTTAGACACAATGATCCCATCGATGCCTACGTCTATCGCCTTCTCGGCGTCCTGAGCAATGCAAGATGGTATGTCAGCATCAAGTCATAGAGTACGAAAAAGCGAAAGAAGACCCTTACATCAACTGAAAGAATTCCCTTCAAAACAACCGGCCCGTCCCAGTGCTCCCTTATAAACCCAAGTTCGTCCCACGTCCTGAACGCCCCGCTTCCAATTTCGCCAACCCACTGGCCTCCCAGCATCAGCGCCTCCTGCGCCTTCGCGTCTCCCTTCTCCAACGCATCCCTAATCGTCTTCTGGTCATACGGCCACGTGGGGTGCTCATGTGTGCGCGCCTGGAACCCGAAGCGCTTCATGAACACGGGATCCGAAAGGCCCTGCTGGTTCCCGAAGCCGTGCCCCGTGGGCAGATAGGGTTTACCGTTGTCGTGCGGGCGCCAGCCGATGATCATGGTGTCGACTGTGATGACGAGTGCGGTGTAGCCATTCGCCTTAGCGCGGTTCAGTAGCGAGATAGTAACGTCTGCTGAGCGAGTCCTGCATCCACGAAGAATGAGAGGCGGATGTGGGACACGGAGTGGGAGATACACACCAGTAAAGTTGATACCACCTATGTCCGTCGCTGTTGGCTTCCGCGACCTCTTCAATGGACCTCGACGCAGCGGTGCTCAAGACCATGGGAACGCCCACTTTGGCAGCTGCGCGCGCGACCGCCAGTTCGCCTTCCGGGTGGACGAGGCTTTGCGCGCCAACAGGTCCAACAAAGAGCGGGGATGGGTGTATGACGCCAAATATTGTGGTCTGGTCACCGGACAGGCGCATATATGCAGTCAGGACAATGGGTGGGTATGATGCGAACGATGCGTACTTCAATGTTGCGGGACGCAGCGTCTGTAAGTACACGCGGGATTAGCCTCCACCGGTTAAACGCTTGACGGTTGGCGTCATGCGTTGTGCATATACCCGCACTCTTCATGACATAGAGAAAAGCGGCTAAAGCAGCATCAGCGGCCGGGATAGTGACATACACTGAACTGAGTACGCACATGGATCATTGCTCAGCACCTGCTTTGCCTTCTCTTCGATCTCGTCGATGTCCAGCGTCCCGAGCGGAGGCGGCTGTGCGGACGCGAAGATCTGGAAGAGCCAGGATGTCCACTTGTTCGTCGGCGGAGCAACTGCGTCGGCCATGACGTTCTCGTTTTCAAGGATCCGAGCTATACTAGTGGCAGTAGAAAGATGGTATGAGGAGGACACCAGAGCACCTCAGTGCGAAGTATAGGATCCTCGGTCCGTGCATGGTACGGTATCTCAGGAGCGTGAGTGTTTCAGGTCGCGGAAAAACCTGCGCGACGGGTGACCGCGTCGGCCGCCTAGCCACATGATATCTCTTGCAATCGGTTAGCGGCAACAAAGGAGAGCTGCGAAGGAAGTCGACTGACCTTGATCGGTCCGTACTTAGAGAGTCCGTCGTAAGCTAGTGTCCTTGGTTGAGCAAAAACCGTCCTTGGATGTGGTAGTCTGCCGAGGTGTACCCGAGTTCGCGTGAGGTCCAGGATGCTAGTGAGAAATGCTGACCTTTGAAATCATTCAAGATAGCATGTGTGTCCAAAATCAGGGCTATGATGTGTCGGGGATGACATGGACAGATGGACGCCTTTCGACAAAGCTCACGAGACCTTCGGCGTTTGCCGGCTGGTTTCCGCTGAGTTCCAATTTCCAGCTGTACGCGCATCGAACTCTCCATTCGTCCATCGAATAATTCCGAGTTATAATCATCGCAATCTCTGCACATTCCTGTATTTCCCCCAAGGATGTTACACACTTCTAAACGTGGAAACAGCCGTCAAACACACATCGTGTATATGTCAGCTCTCCTGCGTCAATCCGACTCCTTCGTGGATCCAAACGATATGCTATGGTTGGAGCTAAGCAGCTAGAATGCAACCTTCATATGGCGGTGCTATATATGTTGCGTGAACCAAATAAACGTGACTCATCCGAATGTTTTGTATCAGCCAACCGATGCAGGTTGAACTCCTGCTGTCGGCGCAATCATGCGCTCCGAATCATTTATTTTGCATCAGCTTAATACCTGAATTGGTCTACCTCAGTGTAATCAGGATTGCAGAAGCGTCGGGCAAATGGACTAGTTGACGGGTCTGCTACTGTTCCTGAGGTACCATTTAATGACTGATGGCAGGTGATTCCAACTGAACCTCGACCATTCAATGCAATCCTTAAGAGATTATCAACAATCAATCAGCACTCAACGTCTACAGACGTCGGCAGCTTCAGTGTTCTCGAGTGACGCGTCAACTTGAAGCCGGCCATCTCTTCGAAGACTCTACGTTAGTCACCCCTTTCCCACGTTGCTTCAATGCGTCACTGAAATTTGAAAGCCGATTAGCCAAGAACCATCGCGCATTTTGCATCAGATTCAGCCAAAACTCGGTCGTTAATTAGCGATCCCCATTCCACCCTCCAACAACGCTCTTCAATTTCACCTGTACCCTTCCAATCCACATTACGAGCTATTGACTTAAGCTGATTCAGATACCAATGCATGACGGCAGCATCTTGACACCACCCTCGGGCGAAGATGTCTTATATATAAATCCCTGTCTGTGAGCCTCGTCCAACCAGCATCGAGTCCAAAAACAAACTATCGCCATTACTTAATAGCCACAGAAACACCCATATCATACATCAAACATGCCGCACAAAGCCACCATCAACGACGTCAAGTGCATCCTCATCATCGGCGCCACGTCCGGCATCGGCCGCGCCCTCGCACTGGCCATCCATGATCTGCCGTCGAAGCCGACCGTCATCGTCGCCGGGCGGCGGCAGGACCGGCTCGACGATATCGCCCAGAACGCGGGCAGCGAGCGCATCAAGAGCGTCCGGTTCGATGTCAGCGCACCGCAGGAGACGCTCAAGCGGAACGTGGAGGAGGTCATCAAGGCCTACCCCGAGGTGCGTGCCCCGCATGACATAACAGCAGAGTGACTGATATCGGTGAATGGGTGCTGGTAGCTTGACGCCGTGATGTTCTCGAGCGGCATCCAGCATATCTTTAACTTTGCCGAGCCCCAGAAGATCGACGTCAGCAAGGCCCTCGACGAACTCAACGTCAACTACGGCGCCGTGTTCGCCATGATCACGTACTTTACGCCACAGCTCCTCAAGATCGCTGTACGTTTTCCCTCTCTTCCTTCTACTCCTGACCACTCACGATTGCATGTAGAAAACCGGCAAACCAGCGTTCATCTACACCATCACATCCGGCCTTGGTCTTCTCCCTGCACCGCACCTGTCCAATTACAGTGCAACCAAGGCAGCGTTGCACTCGCTCTCCCTGTCGCTCACGGCCCAGTTGGAGCCGCACGGTGTCTACGTCGTCGAGATCTCGCCTCCGTAAGTCACTACCTGTCATCTCTCTATCATGTGCTCATGCTGTCTACCTCGCACCCTCAGACTCGTCGAATCCGAGCTACACGACCGTAAGCCTCTCTCTCTCCCATTTCTATCAAAACATTGCGCTGACCTCATACGCAGACCAAGGTCTCACTCCCGTCCTGTCCAAAGTCTGGATGCCGCTCGACGAATTCACCAAGCTCACCATGGCTGAGCTCGCCAAGGGCACCGAGCAGATCCCCGTCGGCACCGTGAGCGAGTGGTACAACAACTTCGACACGTACAACGAGGGCAAGGGCAACAAGCTTGACGACGTGAGGAATTTCCAGGCGCGGATTGCGAAGAAAGACTAGATCGATTGCAATAGGTTAATTGTATGATATGTTTGCGAGTTGTGCTCAAAATCCACGAAGGACGTTGCTACGTTTGCCAGAATAACAGTGAGAAGTGCGAAGCGGCTGAAAGGTAGGGTATACTAATGGACATAAGATGACTATGGTACAGAAGTCGCGCTTGTTGAAGTTGAGAGTATGTAATACACGAACGTTCGGAAAGGGATGAATACACGATTGCACGGGCGATTGAAAGGCTTGAAGCAAAAAGTGCAGGAAACGAAGGCGACGAGTAACAGGAACACCATTCTCGCTATGCGTCCTCCGGAAGAGTATATGGACCAGCTAGAACGTGCCAGTTAGCTTTATCCACAAGAAACCACCAAACGACTCACCACCAGTCCTCCGTCTCCACCTAACAATCCTCTCCGCCTTCTCCCACGCGCCCATCCCGCCCCGCTGCAGCTCTTCCCAGCTCTCCGCATCGCTTGTATACAGCATCACCACCACTCTAGGATCGCATACCCCTTCGCTCTCCAAATACTTCTGTGCCATGGGCACAACGACCTTGTCGCTCAGCAGCACCAGCACCTCGAGCCGCTCGCACTCGCCCAGAAGGAGGCGCAGCGCAGCACCGACATTTCCTCTAGCCCAGAAGCGGAAAGAGACGTGCGTGAGGTTCGGAAGACGTTCGAGCCCCAGCGTTGACGTCCACAGTGCCCAGTGATTCACGATATCGAGGTGCGAAAGGCGCGCGAAGAGCGGATGGGTGGCAAGGCCGTACGGCCTTTTCACTTCTGCCCCTCCTTCATCTCCTACTGCTGTTCCTCCCTCACCCCCACCTCCGCTAGCCCCAGGATGCACCAGCAGCGTCGACAAGTTCACCGACATCCTGCGCAGCGGCATCTTGTCAAGTAACGGCTCGAGCACCTTGGGCGCATCCGTGTTGGGTGCTACCCAGAGCGCGACGTTCGACGTGCCAGTGCATAGCGAGAGAACGTGCTGCGCGAGACTCAGTGGTACCCGCTGGCTGATGCACAGCGATGCGATGCGCGAGGCCGCGAACGCACGGTACTGGGTGCGCTGGTGGAGGCAGGCGAGGAAGCGCGCAGTGTGACCTGCGTGCCGGAGGACGATGGTGCTGTATAGGTGTGTTTCGAGCCTGTGATGAGAGGGTATGATATGCGGGTCGAGGAAAGGATGCAGGGGAAAGCGGAAGGCCGGCCCGGGAGGAACGGGTGCATGACGTTGGTGCATGTGGGGAGACGGGCTTATCGTTAGTACCCGAACAGACCTCAGACCACCCCAGCATCGAGGGACAGGCGCTGGGATGGAGACGATGGAAGGACGACGCACCATTCGTGTACCCGGTGTGCAACTAGCATAAGCTTCACCGTCGTCCCGCGGTACGTCTTCACCGTGTAAAGGAGAATCTCGCGCTCGAGCTCTGGCGGGAGGATGGGGTTGCCTTGAACTGCTTGCTCTTGTGACCGTGGAGTAGGACTCGGTTTGGCGACGTCCAGTGGTGCTGCTCCGGGCCTGGCATTGGTGCTGCCCATGGTCGCCGCCGTTGTTCTGGAGGTGGGCGGTCGTATGGGAGCATATTGAGGGAACCTATCGAAGATGCGCGGGGTGCAGTCGACCTCGAGAGGCTCAGGCTCACGTATCATCATGGCTTGGTGAGAGAGGTGACTTCAAGAGAGTAAACGAGAGGTGGTGAGTGAGTCGTAAGTAAGTCAATGTAGAGCAAAAGTGACGAGTAAGTGAGGTGAGAGGGAGGCACAAGGGCAAGCCAAGGGGGCCGGGTGCAGAGTCCGGGGAAGTATATAGGGGGAAGCGGAGGCGACGCGAGGCAGAGACTCACTTGAACATCCCGCGGCAGGTTTCCATCTTCCGGCTTCCTTCCTTTCGCTACTTATACGTCACTCCGTCTGCGACGGCTACTATCTGTTGTAAGCGGACTTGCTGCGCGTGCACTAGCTTGATAGACGGGTACTATCCGGCAGTTACCAGAGCTGGTATGGGGGAGATCAAGAGGAGGTACGGTGACTGGCGAATGAGCGGGGTATGGAGGTAAAGAAAGGAGTATGGACGGTTGCAAATTGAGGAGCCCAGCGGTGTATCCACAAGTCACCGCAGACGCCCAGGGCCTCGAGGATCCACGCAGGCCCACATATACTTACATCCACTACGGTGAATAAAGGTGAGTGATTCCGCTCCCATGGCCAACTCGATGTGCTCAGAGAAGAGGTCATTCATGGGAGTAACAGGTCCCGCGTACTGTATTGACCTGCTATCTGGCAATTCGCCGGTATTCCTCCTGTGCCCAGAGACGAGCTGATGCCTCAGGACCCTCCGCGAGAATTACGTAGGACGCTCATGCTAGGAGCGCTGGATTTGCAACTTAACTTGCCAAAGGTCCGTCGTCGGAAGGCATCCTCCATACAACTACAGTGACTGGATTCCACATTGCAGACCGGCTTGACGAGCCAGGTACTACGTCATACCAATTTATGGACCGATCTTAAGTTGGGACACGACTTGGGTAGGTGGCGTTCGGGCCTCGAGCTGGCTTAGCACGCCTCCAATGCGCCACCGGCGGCTCTATTCTCGCCTCCAGACCGAGATTGGCTGAACTCGCTTTGTTTCTGCTCCCAGGGTCGCTTCCCAAGGTTGCTCCAAGCTACCCTGCAATGTACTGTACCTCTACACCGGGTATACGGCTGGTACGTCCTTGATATAAATTTACGATGCGTTATTCCCTTGCATGAATATCTTATCCCGTCAGCGTTGGTGATAACATAACCGCTACGATCCCAACGACTTTCTATCGCCCGTCCTGCCTGATAGATCCTCATGCCTCAAGTCAGTGCTTGTCAGGCATTATTCTCATGCTAATGACGCTGATTTTCAGTTGTGACGTTTCTGAGGAGCCGGGTTAGGGTGCCATATTCATGCGAAGCGCAGTGAGCTCGACAGTGTACCAAAGCTTAGCGTCTAAGTCAGCCTCCGGTAGCCTGATCTCTTATACTTACCATTTCTTCATGGCGGTTCAGAGTAAGTTGCCCATCCTAGCCAGCGACTGCAGCGTATATATTTGATGGCTTGAAGAAGCAGAAGCCCGATGTAAGTAACACTTAGTTTGTCACCTATAGCTGACGATACACATTGCACATGTGTTCTGATTGGCACCACAGGAATCGGGCTAGCGAAACAGGCACAAGGGCGGCGACCAATAGCTATTTGCTACAGAAAAGTAGTGTTCGTGATGATCCGACAACGTCTGCTCATTTATCCTATCCGGTTACAGGACTGAAAGGGATCGTAAGCCAGTTTCTATCCTGGATGTTGGCCTTGAAGCTGATGGAAGATGGGCAGAATGTGAGTCCGTTACATGATAATCTCAATTCGCTGATAAATTCGTGGGTTCATATTGCATAAGGACTAACAATGATACATGATCTGAGAGTCGACATCAAGAGGTATCTGCGTATACATCTAATCAAAGAACTCGATCTTCGTCTTCAACAGTCGTATAGTAAACCGTCTTTCGTCCCGATTAAGCCTGACTGTCACTTTATCTCCTTGTACGAAGAGCTGAAGTGGCTCGCGGCCAAAGTTGGGTCTGTATCGTGAAGGCAGCCAGCAGATCCTGTGGTTTCTTTTTCGAAGCCAGCCGTGTCTGTCCATGCAAAGGTCTGAAAACGAGAGCGCGTCGAAACAAGCATCTGAACAGTCCTCGTCCCATTCATAAGAGCCTTTTGGGTTCGCATCAAAGGAGGATATAGGTTGCATTTTGAGGTTCATAGTATTGTATCTCTGGGACGTGAACGGGATCGACCAGTACAGCCGCCTGAGGCTGGGACTGGTACAAATACGACGAATCCAATCACGATGCGTCAGAGACGTCGGAGATAAATTGGAAGGTAGCGTATAGGACGCCATCAGAGTATTCGCGTCCACTCCCATCTTCCAATGCCACTGGATATGATCAATACATGTGCCGAGACCGACGAGCCAAATGTCAACCACGTGCTGTTCGAGAGAAACGATACGGACAGAGGTTCCGTCATATGTGGATTCGCATGCTAGCTGAAATGTGCTGCCATCCCAAGAAAATAAAACAATAGCATGCCTCCGATCCTCAATTCGAATGATGAGCGCGATCATAGATTCGTCTTCAGAGAAGACTACATGTTGAATCCAAGAGAAAATCATTTGACACCTCCAAAACGAGAATATTTGACGGCCCGTCTTGATGTCCCATAGATACAGCGGTGCATAAGGGGGGTACCCAGCGAAGTACGTAGATTTGGGTGAGAATAGCCATTTATCGCTGGCAATTTGATATTGATCGAATTCGGTAGCAAATCTGCAAACCTCAGTCGACGAACGCTCGGAGGTTACTATGGAGATTTGCCAGTGATCGCCTTTGTTTTCATCCTCATAACTGTACGCCTTTAGACTAGCGTCTCTTGAGGCACATGCGAACGTAGAATCCTGTTGATCAAGTCCCAGAACCATGGTGCTAGACTCTTGAGTGGCGCGATGCAAGGTAGGATGGGTCAAATCTATGATGTGGAGTTCACGATCGCGAATTAGACACGTGGAATAGCACTAGTACTCTTCGTTTTCAGGTTTCCAGGGAGTCCTGCCCCAACCAAAAATTCTAGCCATTTTATTGCCGACCTTCACTCCTACGACTTCGCCGCGCCACCTAATCAACCCCACATTGCCTTCTGGACTGCCTCGTTGTAACGAGAGAGGTGATTGGATAGTTTTACCATCTTCATGCGCATTCTCATGAACAGCAATGTAATCTACATTTCCCGTTGAGGAATCAAACGGGACCTTAAGATGAACGATAAAGTTTCCATCTGGACTGAAGAAAGCTTCACTATTGAACGTCTCCGAGTCGAGTGGTCCAAACGGGCGCCAGGATGGCTCGAGTGGTCCAAGCGGGTGCCAGGACGACTTGATTTGTCCGAGCAGGCGCCCGGACGTCGTGTTAAAGATGTAAACTTTAACATCGGTGGCGATCATAAGCGAAGCACCGTCGGGAGAAAAATCAAGAATCAGCGTCTCGTCGTCGTAGAGGCAAGGGATATGGTGAGGGATAATGCATTTGCACACTTGGAGCTTTGTCTTGACAGCGTAGATAATAATCTCAGTTCTGCAGGCTTCCTCGTGGAATGATACATCAGCCAAAGCGAGCTTGGTGCCGTCTCCAGTGAATGCGATAGAGTGGAGACGCTCTGAACATTTGATCCTGTCGGATGTACCATCTTCCAGTTTCAACAAGATGCACTCGCTCTGTCGGAGAAGCGCAATGACGGGACCATTAAGAGCGAGCCCGCAAAGATAAGAGTCCACCTTCAATGACGGGGATGAGACCAGTAGCCCAGAGGCAGTATCCCACACGCTGATACAGCCACCTCTGGAAGCACCGGCTATTTGAGAGCCGTCAAGGGATAGGGCGAAATGACAATACTCCTCCGACAGGTTTATGACTCGTGTTTCACAGTTCCAGTAATCTTCCAGACAATCATCGACGAGCATATCGGTGGACTTTGTCGCAGGGTTAGACTCGTATGTAAGCCGTAACTTTGAATTTACTGGGCAGTGCGGGAAAGCGGATTCGTACACGTGAAGAGCTGAGCAACTGATGGGAAAGAAGAACTCCAGAGTCAATCGCCAGCTGTCATAGAGAAGATCTAACACGTCAATTTTGTGCCGGAACGTCCAACCCTACGGATGCAGGTTTAGCGGACATATATTTGGCCCAGAAATCCGACGCAATCTCACCGTAACTAGCTTCCTTGCCGACCGCAGCAGCTCTACGCAGGTACCTAGTTCGCCGAGTAGCGAGTATGCCTCGATCGCGAACAAAAGTCTTGCCTCTAAAAACTCGAGTAGTTGCTGTTCTAGTTCTTCGTCAACCGCGCATCCCCGAAGATGGAATAGCCAGTGAATGCAAGCGTAGCGAAGTGCACGGGGGATTGCGCGGCGTCGTTGGTCAAAGTCGCGGATTTCGTCGTGTAGCAGTGAGGAATCACCGAGACCACAAAGGTCGCGCTTGAGAAACCTTGCCATTGTCACGAAACAGCGGCTAGCCAAAGGACGATGAACCTGAAGGTTCCCAACGCCGACTCGTGTAAGCTGTGTCTGCAGAAAGTCCGGAAACGAGCTATGAAGTGTCTCAACTACATCCAGGGAATTGAGGGCAGGAATATGTACTAGTGCTGAAAATGGGAGGAGGGAATGGTAGATATTAGTTCTGAAAAACCGGTTCAAGTCAACGAAGGGGAGTGGTTCAGCGAGATGGATGATGAGGGATAGATATCGTAAGCCCATACTGCGAGTAGGCTGATCGATGCTATTGATTATAGAAGTGTAGAAGTGGTCGATGCTTCCCCACGTCTGTTGTACGTCAACGTATAGCATGCTGCGTACGAGTTCAAGTCGATCTTGAGGTTGGGCCTGATCAATGAAGCGGACTATGGTGGCTGCGAATATAAAGCGTCCCTTAGCTCATTCGCGTAGCATTGCGACGACGTCGTCAGACGGCCAAGGCTGATCAACCAGCCAGGAAAGCTCATGCACCTCGTATATGCGCCTGAACCTCTCCTGAAAATAAATATGTACGTCCTCTTGGGAGTCATACTGCTCCAGTAACACCGTCCGCACAAGGCCTTGATGAGAGCTGTCATGCATTATGCTACGGATTTCTGACCACAGCCTGCTAGAAATAAATATGTTTTGGACGGGTATGGGTAGGGGGTCGTCGCGGATGAGGAGGAGGAGGAGGCGAATGAAGGAGACAATGTGGTGGGTCCCGTCGGAAGTACCTTCGTCTAGAGCATCGAGAATGAGCGAGGCGCCACCCTTGTCTTTCCAGATGTGCGCCATCGCTCGCAGAGGCTCAATGACGAGTTTCTCAAGCTGATCGCGAGGCGACTTCTCAGAGGAGAGGAGAGCGGGGTCATCGTGGATGGCTTTCATGATAACTTCCTGGGCGAAGTGGTGCTGCAAACCAAGCTGATACGCAAACGTGAGGATGACGCGCTCGAACGTGCTGCGCTTGGTATGCTTCCTGGAAAAGAAAAAGGTACCGGCGAGCGTGCCCTCCTGACGGAGCTCGTCCGCCAGCGTGTGCATGATCGTCGACTTGCCGGACCCGGACTCGCTGGAGACCTAGACAACCTTGCGAGAGCCATCGTGAGCGAGGGCTCTGAGGTCGTTGAGAACGTTGACTCGCGTATTCGGAAGACACTTGGAATGAGGCAGACGTTCGGACGAGTCGTAGATAGCGCCTTGTGCGCATTCCCGCGCAAGGTTCTTCCAGTCTTCGTGGTTGCTTGTATCTGTGGTGAAATTGGTCAGCCCGGAGGCTGGAGAAACGGGACGGAGGGGGAAAAGGGAAGACGTACTCAGGTTCATGGTGGTACGCGGTTGAGATGGACGTACAGCTTGGGCTCCTCGCAGACTGATAAGCTTGCGAACATGCTGTGAACACGGGGTCACATCGGTGGCTTCCGAGCGTACAGCAATTAGCAAGCGCTCATCGTCTTAGAATATGTGCGATAGCCTCGATCCCTATCCCAACCCTACTGGCCCTGGTGGAAACGGCCATGTACCGCGTAAGGCTTTTATAGAAGACCAGACCCAGCCTCAAAGAGTATACAGCACTGCGTACAGCCTGTCTATTATACAAAGCGCCTACCCTATCGCTGACGTTGATACGGGCGTCTAAGCGTGACATCTGAAAACAAATGAATTCAAGCGTTCTAAACGTCCTCACCCCCAACTTCCACATCCACAACCCCAAACTCCACCACCGGCGGCGGACCCTCATCCGCATCTAATCGCTCCCTGTGGAACGACTGCTGGAACGGCATCGTGATTAGCACAGTCACGCGCAGTGGCGGCGGCTGCGGTATCTCCAAGTCGAGTTTCTCTCCGTCGCCAGCGTTTGGTACAGCAAGCAATCCGGAACCAGTAGTCATCACCGGAGCTGGTGAGGGAGCGGCAGCCGGAGTATGTCGGGATGATGGTGAAGGTGAAGGTGACGGGCGTGTAGTAGGTGATCGCGAGTGCACTCCCGAGCGAGATCTCGAGCGACGTCGTGAATGTGACCGAGAACGACGACTACGGTCGTCTGGCTGTCGCCAGCCAATGATGTCGAGGAAGCGCCTCCATCGTGTCCGCTGGCTAGCGTCAGGGTCAAAGTCGGGATTGGGTGACACGTCTCGTGAGGCACTGCGCGAGCGCGATCTCGAGGTTGAGCGGGGATTCATGTACCGGGCTGATAGGGGCTATTCATGGGCAGTCCGCGTTAGCCGCCATGCGAATACTCGTGAAAGAACGGAAGAGATGCACCATAATATCCGCCCACTCCGTTCTTCCCGTCCCCATAGGCGTCACGTCCTTCCCTTTGCCCAAACCTGCCTCTTCCTCTGTCCCATCCTCATCCTCACTTTCCTCATTCACTAGCCTAACCTCCCATAATCTCGGCTTCTCTCCAATATCCTTCCTCCTTCGCCTTCTCCCCCCAAGCCCAAGGTCATTCATCAGCACATTATTGAACGGATCCCGCGAGGGATTCCACGTGCCCGCGCGAATGGCAGCTTCAACAAAACGTTGATGTCGTCTCCTCATGACGAGGCTGCGGATGACGATGCCGGAAGAGACGGCGAGAAGGAGGACGAGAGTGGCTATTAGCGCAGTATACGACAAACGGAGAGGTGGGAAGGGCGAGTGCGTGAGCGGGTCGATGGGGTTCACGTTCATGAGTGCAGAATGAGAGCGAATCGCCGGTGTTGATATCGATATTCAGGTTGGTGAGCAAACGTTGGCGTAGACGAGAGGAGAGGGAAGGGAGGTATCAATAAGAACTCGACAAGAAACAGCAAGGGTATGGGACAGACCTAGGAATGTGTACACTGCAGACGGGGAATAACCCACGTTACCGGTGACGCTCGCCGTCGCGGAATCGGCCATGTGAGTTCCGTGCGCGTGCGTGCGAGGACGGATGAATGGATGAAAAGTAGATGTTATGACGATCGAAAGAATAGATAATGGCGGGTGGGGATGGATGTACGTGCAGAACGGGGCGGAGAAAAGAGAACGGCCAAGATTCGCGCACAGGGAGTATTATTATAAAGCATAGCAGAGTGGTGTGACGCAGAAGAGCAGAACAAGAAAGGTGAAGCAGGTTTTAGCGAAGGGTGGGAAGGAAGCATGAGAGAGAAGAGAAGGGTGGGGGTGGAGGTTTACGATAGGCGAGAGTGATCGATTGGACACAGGTCCATAGATCCATAAGAGCAGACAAAATGCCCGGAGACCCCATTTGAGTGCGTTAGTTCAGTCCCGCGTGGATAGGGGAGTGTAAGATGCCGAGATGTAGGGTACGTGGATGGTCAGCAAAGCAGTGATCGACCGAGGAAAGCAGAATATAATATCGTGTGAAAGTAGTCCAATTATACGACGGGGAGGCGTGGAGTGGAGAGAAGGAAGGGAAAGGCGAGATGAGGCGACTATAAGCATATGCACACTGAACGAGAAGAGGAAGAGACGCACGGTACAGCGTTGCATTGGACGCGAGGCCAGAGGGCATTCCATCAGCACTATCAGTCGATACAGCTGAGGGACTTGACGCCGATGCTGAGCCCGTCGCATCCTGTGAAAGGGACGACGTGGGCGTTACTGAGATTGTGGATGAAGAGGCAAGACTAGACGTCGACATCCTTTCCTCACGTTCAGTTGGTGTTTGTTCCTCGGTTGTAGGTGCGACTCGAGCTCAGAGCATGAGATGGGGATGGCAGATGCGAGGGATGCGAGAAGGGCAGAGGGGGGCTAGCAGGCGGCCGGCTATTTGGCAAGCCCTCGTGGGTGATGCCTGGCTAATTATGACGAGGACGAACTGGTATGGTATGCGCACAACCGCGTGCGCCGTGCACCAAGGAGATGATTCTGTGGACCATTATTAGCAACAGAACCTTCGCGAAAGGCTGATAACGGGATGTGTGGAGGAGTAAAAAGCGATAAATTGGGCGTTGGACCCATGAACTGGGCCGTTGTTGATAGGTGGATGACTGGGGCAAGTGGTTTGTAGCAGGTGCAAATCCTCGAGCGCCGAATCTCGCGGAGAATAGAAGACTCAGCTCACCGGTCAATCGCCCAGCCTTTACTCTAACGTAGCTCCAGACTGGAGTACTGAATGGATTGACTTGCGCCGAAGATGGTGTTGAGACAAACAGGACGAGGGACGGGGGTGGAGGAGGGTACAGCTGGATTTGCGACGGCGCACTTTGTTCGGCTCATTGTGAGCTATAGAACCACTTCATTCGTGAAGCAACTTTATCTCCGCCGCTCCATCTCGGCTTTTCCCGCTGTAGGTTGCGAGCTAACCTTGTCGACGACGACCACTAGATCCCCTACAGAGCACAATTTGACCTCTAATGCCCATGAAAACACCTCAGAGTACCTTTACGGATGCTTGCAAGCCCCGGAAGCTCACAAGTTCAAGTGGATCGCTGAAGGCGCTTGAGTTCAAGTAGGTGCCATTCGCCAACTCTTTATCATTCGCAATGCGCCCTCTTCGCACAAAACGACAACAAATTCAAAGTTCTTCAAAGACCTTCTGAGCACTCGGCGCTTCAGCTGAGTGTATATATGCGGTGCGTTCAGCCCTCGGTCGATGGAGAAGATGCACCATAGCCTCATGCTGCACCTGTACGTCTCTTTCTCGCGCCTGAAGCTTATGACCTCTTCTTTGCTCGACATAGATACAGGTGACGTCGCCAATGCCGCATATATGCAGGCCACTCCTGATCAAACCTCAGACCTCACAGATCACGATGCTGTAAAGGTCATATCCATGTCCTCACCGCTTGGTAAGCCAGGTATTGCCGTAAGGGAAATATGTCTGCTCTATTGCGGTGCGCGATGATAGGTGGTGATCCACCAAGCGCCACCCCCCTGACGTATGATATCAATGAGGCCCCGATTTCTCTTGAGCTCAGACGAGGGGTTCTCGAGAACTCGAGAAGAGCGTATCAAACCCAGCCTCGGTATCGACTGCGCCAAAGTGCTTGATACGGTGCAGAGAAACTCAACGCAGGGACGCATACTCCCACCCCACCGGTTGCGAATTCTTTCAGCTGCGATGCTACCTCCAGCAGCCATGAAGTCGGATAGTGGGTATATGCGGACGAGAGTTCATTGCCGGTGAGATATTAAAGTTGCGAATGTGGAAGTCGGGGACAAGGGCGCTTACAAGTTACAGCTCCCTGTAGCCCTTGCTTGCATGTTGCCTTTAGGTGTCATACTTATGCGGCCGATCCGAGGGTACCAGGCATCAGGTACTGTGCCTATGATGATGTACCCCGTGCTATGTCGGGAAAATGTCGGAACCCCGCTGACATACACACGCGTTCCGGTAAAGTAGCGGGGTTGTCGCAACTGATGGTTTGTCAATGTCACGTTATGGTCCACCACGCCTTTGAGCGACTTACAGTGTGCTATGAGTTTTCAGTTACAGTATGTCAGGAAGCAATGTGTTCACGAAGGATGCCTGCCCCCCCTGTCCTTTGCTATTATGTGAGCTGGTAAAGAGAACCTTATCGCTATTATCCCGCCCAGTAGCTGACAGCGCGTGAACAGCCCCGGAGCTTCAAGGACTGTTTTATGACCAAGCTTGAAGAATACACGAAAAATGAGATGATCGCCACTGATCGCTCACTGATCGCATAGCCGATCTTCCCCCGGGTATACTAAACATGTCGCGGATGCAGCTCGACACTGGCAAAATGCCACCTAGATTGATAGCCGAGCTGGCAACTTATGACAATGCCAGAAACTTTTAATCATGTTCCACGAGTTCCACGTGGGCGATCTCCACGATCGACGTCGGAGAGTCTGACACGAGGCTCGAACAATCAAGAGGCTACTCCTCGGTTACTCCAGGCCCCGTTACTCCAGGCGGTCAGCGCGAACCGGCATCACGCAGCCGCTCCAGGTTAGGTAAATACATAAGTCGTTTCGTTCCTCCTTCACGACCAGGAGTTCTTTGCACCTCTTCACTTCCCCAGACACCCCGCGTCACGGTCTCTGAGTTCCTCAACTCTTCTTCGTCCACCATTAGGCGATTCTAGGGACAGTACTCGCGCTGAGAACCTTACTGGCCAAGATGGACAAAGCACAGGCGTATGAAGAGCTCTTGTATTTTGCGGAGGGGAACAGGATGGTCGGAGTAAGTCCTTCGATTATACTGGATGCCCCTTCCGACCTCGACACTGTGAACCATCCTGATATTGACACGCAAACATCAGTATTTTATAGGTATGATTGGGATTCAAGTCTTTCCGTAACGCATATGAGGCTGCTTGCTAATGGTCATCACAACTTTTAGTTTCGATAACCGCATTATTCGTAAGTAATTTTACTCTGAATTCTTCTTCGTGCTTCTCAACCCGACTTGGTGGAATGCTCAGCTTTACGACTTTTTATTCCACATAGCAGACGAGGCTCGTTATACCTACTACCTCCCCTACGCGAGTCCCTAACAATGCACGATCTCTAGATGCGATTCATATGGAGAGTACCTCGATGGGGCATGGGCAAGTCCTTGTACGTCATGGCAAAGTACATCAACTTCGCTATGATACCCGTCAGCATGGCTGGTACGTCAAAGGCACATACATGTATCTCGAGCTTGCGTGTTGACTCAATTCTTTGATGCAGGTCAGCTTCCATTTACAATATCACCTGAGGTACGTTTCGAACCCATACTTTGGGAGATGGGAAAGTTTAAAGGGTGTAATGCTGGCACGAGCAGGCATGCGCGCCTTTGTTTTACGGAAGCATCGGTAAGCACCATGATGCCGACTCCGAAGCGGGTCGTAGATTCACCACTGTCCTCTCAGCTACGCAAACATTTGCAATCACGGTTTCACAATGTAGGTATACACCTTTCTCCTCGGACATGAACTGAACCTGAAATGTCGGCAGGTCTCTTCAGCTTGCGCAACTACGCGATGTGGAACGGGAACCGGATCGCGATAGGCATTTCCATCTTCAACTTCTTTGTAAGTTCTCCCTCGTCGCGCCTTATCTCCGTTTCGCCTGATGGTCATCGTAGAGCGCATTGATCATCGTCAGCGTACTATTGGGTCTGTATCTACCACTGATAACATGTAGGCTCTGGGTTCTCGCAACTTTTATGCGCTCCATCGTTGTCTGACACTCCGCCGTATGCTCAGTCGGACCAAACCCAATCCCTTCAATCACTGGCTGCTTCAAAACGGGCGGCAACAACCACGCCCTGGCTGGATGCTTCATGGTTGTTCTGCTCAATGAAGCCAGTAAGAAATATCCTTCGTATAAGCTGGAGCGGACATTCGAGTGAACCGGCTAATGCCCATTTTCAGTACTTCTTATTTCGATAGGATTCAGACTACGCCTCAAAATACGAGAAGGGCGGAACCAGCTGCTCGAGACGCTCATGCGCGACGGCTTGCTTTATTGTATCACCATCTTTCGTGCGTCCTCTTCGTTGGTGATGTTCCTCGCACTCTGACAGCGATTTACCAGTCTTATCGCTGATAAATGCCGTGGTCCAGTTCACCGTATCGGTGTGTTTTCGTATATACGTCTGGTTTCCTAGTTTTCAGGCTGATGTTGCAGAACAGATCGCGTACATTGAAACGACCGAGTTGTAAGCGGGATATTGTGACCTGCCCGAGCTCGCTAACAATCCATCCTTATCTCAGGTTTCAGTCCGTTCTGCAAACTATACTCGCGACCAACATGCAGCTGCACCTCTGCCGCGTCCATCAAAACACCTCCTTAGGCATGGTGGCGGATACAAACGTTAGCTCCATAAACTTCTCCGACATCGATGCTAAGCGCAAGTCGCGCATGAACGCGCCGCCTCAAGAGACTTCGGATGCCAGTACCACTACCGGCAGTGTTATGATGATTGGGCGACAGACCGAGACTCTGCCGATCCCGCCATGGCCGACGGTCGCGTACGAGTCGCAGGGCGTTGTTTCGATAGGCGCGCAGAGTATGGAGAGTGGTGTTGTGACGGAGGAGGCGAGACAGAGTGTATAACTGGATTACAGTATACCCGGTGGCAGGCTGCTAGACAGGTGAGTTAGTAACGAGACGCTTAGTGGCATCAAGGCTGATGCGCATCATATAAGTAGATCAGCCGTTTTTAACGTTTGATGCTGCAAGTTTGTTTCGTGTTTTATATACTAGCTGTATGATAGGTCCTTGTATCAATATTGTGGGACTCACCCTTTTCTGACGAACGTAAAGAGATCGTTTGGCTTTAGATAAGTTGAGATAAGGAACGCGTAGAGGCTTGATGAGCACTGGACACAGTACATCAGAGTACAGTACATCCTGTGCATCATCCGGAAGCGTCATCCTTGATCATCATACGCAATGTGTCACGGAGGCATATGCCAGTAATATTGTTTAGCCGCTTTGCCGGCGCTATTACTTAGGTCCGACTTCCCGCGGTTTGTGGACCATGACCTGCTGGCCAAGACCTTTCAAGTTACGCTCTGCAGCTTTAGCATGTCAGAACTATCTTACTTGCAAATGGGGCCCTAGTTGATCAGTGAGCTTTGGGTAATTCTCGGAGAAATGGTTCCATCTACCATCCTGCCTTGTCCTGCCTCCAAGCTCACAGCGTCCACACAGCCCCACTGAGATGTCAGGATCACGAGAAGATCGCTGACCGATCGTCGGAGGCTCTACATCTGCCAACCTAGTTCCAGCAAATTGCATCAACGTCAACGACACCTTCAATCACCGCCGGAGCCATGAAAACGTTGGCGACGATCAATTCCCTTTGCTCCTGGAGAGCTCTCTGCACCACTGCCCTCTCCATCTCGTCGTCATCCTTCTTCCTCTTGGACTTCAGGAAAGCCCAGCTGCGCCGTAGGAGTGGACAAGGATGGAAAAGGCGTATGAGGAGCTGGTGTACATGGCGAAGGGGTACAAGATGGTCAACGTAAGTCATCCAGCTCGTTGCGTACCCGGCCAGACCCTTCCTTCCTGCTCGTATTGACTCCAAACTCATCGTTCGTAGTATTTTGAAGGTGCGTTCGCAGCTCGCGCTGGCCCTTGTACAACTGGATGATGACGGTTCACTCTGTTAGTCTCGATTACGGCTCTCTTTGTAAGTGAACGCCACCTAAGCCCCTTTCGAAGCATTAACCTTGGTAAAGCTATACGACTATTTGTTGAATTTGGGCGACGAGGTGCATACTTTCGAAGTCGTCCGGTTGATTTGGTGTTAACCAGCACCATTGTTCTTTACAGCTTCGCTTTATATGGCGACGTCCTGGATGGGGTATGGGCAAGGCGCTCTACGTGCTTGCTCGGTTCATTCCATTTGCTATCATACCTATCACGCTCTCAGGTGCGTCGCTAGCCTAGGAAAACGAGACGTATTCTTGACGAGTTCGGTGATTAGACCAGTTACCGTTTCCTGTTTCTGAGAACGTACGTCGCAGATGTTAACTTGCATGTAGACCGATGTACTTATGGTACTCATAGTCATGCTTGCCTTTGTTCTTCGCAAGCACAGGTTCGTCGGACATGCTTCTTGTTGTGTCTTTCGCAGGCTTACCCTTAGTGCTACAGCTACGCAAGCTTTCGCAATTACCGTCTCGCAGTGTCCGTTTCTCTCCTAGTATCACCAGGGAGCTAGCCTAACGCGCGAGACATGCAGGTCTATTCAGTCTGCGTAACTATGCGATGTGGGACGGAAAACGTCTTCCGAAATACATCTCCATCTCCAGTCTCGTTGTAAGTGTCAACACGTCGTATCCATCCGTCATAACTGAGTAGCTGCTACAGAGCTCGCTCATTATCGTCATCGTTCTATTGGGTATCTACTTACCCTCCGTACACTGTGAGTCCTCCGACATCTATCTTATCCGAGACCATCCTCTATGGTGTATGCTCAACGGACCTCCCGCTGGTCATAGTTGGCCCTTCTCCGATCCCGGCTATCTCGACTTGCTTCAAGACGGCGGGAAACAGTACAGGTATATCAGGAACGTTCATCGTTGTCATCTTGAATGAAGCTAGTGAGTATCAAATCTCGATGTAGAAGCACGCAAATAGCCATCAATCTGCTCTATCTGACCCATGTTCTTGCAGTACTTCTCGCGTCAATTATGATCAGACTACGGCAGCAGATGGAAAAGGCACCTAATCAACTACTCGGAACGTTGATGCGAGACGGAGTACTATACTGCTGCGTCATATTTTGTATGTTCTCGTCTGCTTTTTCTCAGTTTCGCGCTGAAGAACGCAGTTCTATCGTTCATCAATGCGGTTGTAGAGTTCACTGCGCCTGTACGTGCGGGTTATTGCATGCTCACCGCTAGACTTTACTAATATCGAGCTTCAGATCGCATACTTGGAAGTGATAGAGATGTAAGCTGCCGTCTATCCCCGCGCCACGTATTCTGACCTCTATGCGTCGTACAGGTTCCAGTCCATCCTGCAAACGATGCTTGCGACGAACATGCAACTTCACCTATGTCGAGTGCATGAGTTCACCGCAATGAGCAAAGGAGTCGACATCTCAAATGTCACTGTCATGCAGTTCTCTGACAGGGGCGAGTCGAGTGCCGGGATGGTGTCTCAGCCGGACGACGACGACACAGTCGTCATGATTGGTCAGCAGAATAATGCCACCATGCAAACGTTTACGCCATATCGACATCTGCGGGATGAAATCCAGCTGATGGAGTTGGGCAAGAGCGCATAGAGCATATGGTTAGATGGGCGAATGGAACGATGCATTTTCACATATACACATACGATACGACTTCAAGCCATTCCTTAAGTAGTACTACTACTTTGGTTTAATGAAATGTCTCTATCTCGAAGCAAAAACGTTCCCACAAGTTGCGAATCAAACGAAGGGTAAGTACGGTGTTGTCTCTCTACCTTGCGCCTATGTAACAATCAGACAGATTTATCTTAAGTTCAAATGAGGAAGCCAGTCCACCTCCAAGTTCAGAAAGTCTCTAAGGTCATCAACATCGTATACCTCGACATCGCACTCGACACCCAGCACAATGCGCTCGATGCGGCATCCTAGTAGTCGGCGAGCGGCGATACACTTGATAAGCGGAGCGAAGAACCAGATCTGTTCACCAACGTCTTCATATCCTTCATCATCTCGCCAGCCATCCACAACCGAATAGCCCTCGATAGTGACTTGGCGAAGCTTCGGGCACGGGAGTACATTGTGGCTCTCCCCATCCTTAGCGTTGTGTGAACGGGGCGTCAAGTAGGCGAAAATCGACCGGCTGCCTTCGCGAGTCAGGCCACTAAGCTGGAGAGTGCGCATGGCAGGAGCGTGGCCCAGGAGAACATCGCATAGGTCATCTGGCCAGGGGGCCGAAGAAATAGCGATGATGGTCTGAGTGTAGGCGAAGAAAGAGGGGAGGCCTTGGACTAAGGCGGAGATGGCTGAATCAGCATGTTGTTGCCGTGCGTGGTACGTCAACTTGAGTCCGGCGAAAGCTGGAATAGACCTCGTGGTCGAGTGGTGGTAGCGGTTGTTGTGGATGGGGGAGAGGTCAATAGTCAAGCCAATTGATCTCGTTGGCTTGTCCAGAAGTACGGTGAAGGAGGGAGAGTGAAGGGTCATGTCAATGTCGTTCAGCGGGTCAGAGCCAGAATCGGGGTGTTCTTGTTCTCCAGTGAGGGACGTAGCTTCCTGGTGAATATTTTCTCCTGACCGACGGATATCGTCAAAGTCCCGACACAGCGCGACAAGCCTTTGCAACACATGCTTCGTGAGGGCTTCCTCGACATCTGCGCTTTCTAAGTTGGGGCTTGTCAGTTGAAGAGAGATCTCCGCTTTTGAACGATCAAACCGAAGGCGAGGTAGGAGGGACAGGCAGACATTAACATTGGTAATGATCGTCAATGAAGTCAGATCTGGTAGGTAAGCAATGACCTCTTTGTGTTCGTCCCAAGCTGGATCAACTGCTAAAGTCGGCTGAAGTCGAAGCTCTTTCAGTGCCGTCATGGAGTTAAGCGCGCGAAGCATGTCCGGGTAACCCGGTACAAATCGGGTTAAAATTCCACGAAACTCGAAAGAGACGAGATTGGTAGACAGGGCGACGATACTCTGCCAGTCGGGGTCCACGAGCTTCGTGCGTACGCTGAGACTCCTGAGCCGGGGACATTGGTTGGGGGGGAAGGGCAGTGTGGATCTCGCTGTGGATCTTTCTTGCTCGTAGTCAAACATCTGGAACTCGACTCGCAGGGATTCTATCATCATCAACGGGGAGGATTGTAAGTCATCGGCAGAGGAGGCCATCATGGCTCGAAGGTCCGAGGTAAGTGCTTCGTCAATCCACATTTCGCGTAGGCGTCCTAGGTTTCTGACAAGCGTTTCGTACGCCTGTGAACCTGGCCTCACGTGCGAGAAGTCGACATGGACATGCAGGGGCACCTTTTCTCCCGCGCGTTCCAAGACCATCTTGCCCCAACGAGAACAGTACTCCCGTTGACAGTCAATAGAGCACAATGAGAAGGTGGCCCAGAGCGAGGGGCATGATAAAGCGGTCGACCGCCAGTGTCTGCATACGTATGTTGCGTCTATCCATAGTGGAGGTCCACAGCACTTATGGACAAGCCAGGTGTTGTGAATCGGCCTGGGGTCGTAACGGGAGAGTTCGTCAAACACCATGGCAAGGATGTCGCGTGGCAGATACGCGACAATGCATCTTGGGGCTACCGTTGTTGACAACGTTCTAGGGGAGGCAGCGCGAGAGACCTAGTACCATGTTCAAAAGCTTGCCACTCTTAACGATCAGGTGCTTACCCCTTGGCTGTGGTTCAGATCGATAGCCGACATTGCGATGGATTGACCAGGATGCTGGAGAGGTCCCGTGTGAACAACTTCCGACACTCAGCGCGTGTCGGAGGTTGAATGTATCCAACGCTTCAAGTTGCACTTCAAGGTTGTATCCTCCAGGAGTCCATTGTCAGGTACATCATACACAGTGAGTGGCGTTCCAGGCTTAATTGTCCATTGATCAGCTCATTACTATCCGTCCCCGCCATGTTTAGGGGCTCCCAGCGTAAGAGACCCAGTCCATGAGCGCCCCGCTAGCCGCATTTCTGCCGGACGATGTCTTGATCTTGATATTCAAAGCATGCTCTCCGTTCGACCCAGTGACTCTGCCTCACTTAACGCACAGAGAGTGCGGCCCTCCTTTATGGGTTCCAGTCACGCAGGTCTGTCGTTATTGGCGCTTGACAGCTTTATCGACCCCATCACTGTGGGCCCAGATATCTTACGGCCAACTCGACTGCAAGCGCTGCTCTCGCTGGGGAAAGGAGATGTTGAATCGCTCCGGTGACGACACAGCCTTATATGTCTATTCCAGAGTGCGCACAGGTTCTCCGGGCTGGAACACGCTGATCAAGAACATGGGGCGTACGCGCGAGATGGTGCATGAAGAAGGCATGGTATCAGACTTGCAGTCTATCATGGCTACCGTAACATCTGCGCCAATATTAGAGTCACTCTTCCTCAGCTTCTCACGGGACAGTCAAGAGGTGTTGACTTTGCCGTTTGGCCCTCAGCACATCCCTCGACTGAAGAGACTGTCCCTTGGCATACCCTTACAGTTCAACTGGTACAGTGTCTCCCCTTTCACTCAGCTTGCCGTCTTGAAGATCGGCGGCTCCATCGAGGATCCAGACGCGGAATTCCCCAGATTCCTCGCCGCCCTCAGTTGTATGCAGGCGCTCGAGAAACTGAGTCTAAAGATATCTGTACCACATGGGAAACAGAAGTGGACCCAAAACCAAGGTCTTGGCGCCACTCTTCCTAAACTCAACCATCTATCGCTATTGGCCAATTATACTTCCTGCATATCTCTCCTCCCTCGAATTCTTTTCAATCGCAAACGAGCCACCCTGTTACTCACTGTTGAGGACGACTCATCCAGGCCTCAGGGGAATCCCATCTCAACCTTTGCTCAACAGCTTCTTGCCGAGAACGTAGAAGCAGGGCAGAGCCCTCAAGACTCTTGGAAACAGTCCTTAGCCGAATGTACGGCCAGAAATCACTCACGCTTTGCTATAGAAGCATCAGCAGGTTCTGCGAGGGTCACATTCTATTTTCAGCTTTTCCCTCGTCCCGATGCCGAACCGTGCTTCGAGCTCAACTACAACGTGTTTGGGGCTGTCACGAGAGACATCCTTGCTCATTACGCAGATGCCCTCCCAATAGCGTCCGTGCAGACCGTTTGCATCCGCTCGTTTGTTGCATGGTCGAGGCAGCTACCCAACCCGTTTGATCTCGCCACTTCTGCCACGACGCTTCAGCTCACAAAGACAAACGCTGAAGATAGCACAGCGATATTCTCTGGCTTGCATCCCCAAGATGGACGATTGCCATTACCGAATCTTCACAAGGTCGTCATCGAAGGCACAAAGTATTCTGTCCCTAGGATCAGTCGCTTCTTTGACGACGTGATCATGCCAGACGTCGTCGTCGAGTGCCCAAGACTCTCGGAGCTCAAGGACTGTATCCTTGCCCGGCGGCCGCATGGATGTCGGCTCAAGCGCGTCGTCTGCGCAAGGACATGCGACTCCGAGGCAGGCCACGCCGACGACTTAAGGGCTCTCGGGATCGAAGTTGATTTGTTACCCAACTTACATCTAACATCGAGGTCTGTCAACTTCAAGGTGAGGAGTGTGTACAAATCTGTGTCTTGCGGCCTAATGCAAAGCCTCCTTTCTGCCGGTTCACTTAGGAAATGGTGTGAGATCAGTCTCCAGGTGCTGCTGCTTTGACTTGCGTTCGACCTCTTTTCCGTTGTGACATATTTCATCATGGCCTTGTGCATGTGCTCTGATAGTCTTATCCACTTTGTTCCTCCTGACGGATTTATCCAGGCCTCGCCCTGTGTTTGTATCTCAATGTGTACCACTCCAGTATCTTGCATAGAAACGGAGTCTTTCTTGCTCATAGAATAAAATATTGTCTTCCGTTTCAGGATTTGGTAGGTCAGAGTCAGGTGTACGTGTGACCTAGCAACAAGGCAAGTACTCTGAGCCGGGTCGAATAGGCATGTCTCGGCGAACACGATGAGAAGGGAAGAATATCTATTCCAAGATGTACAGAAACGGAATAAAATCGCTCTGCTTCTCATTATGTTGGCGGAGAACTGATAAGGGTCGGCTTAGCGCACCGACACACCTCGCTGTAACTTTGAGACAGTACCACTCCCACATCAGCTCGCACCTGAGCGCTACCCTTGAAGGTCGCATCTCCGTCATCCAGTGCATTCAGCTGTAGGCAGTGAGTCCTGCTTTATATATGTTCCTCTCTCCACGCCACAGTTACTCATCCTCATCAACGTTGAAGATAATACCTTCTAGTCCTCCTACGATCCATGGACGCCTCTCTAGCCTCACTTTTACCGAGTGACGTTCTAGTCTTGATATTCAACAAATCGTGCTTTTCCTTCGATCCGGAAAATGTGGCTAGCTCCATGCACCAGAGATGCGGACCTCCACCATGGATCCCTATCACACAGGTCTGCCGCCATTGGCGTTATACAGCTTTATCAACCCCGTCGCTATGGGCTCAGATATCGTACGAGCAGCTCACTTGCAATTCATGTCGCCGCTGGGGAAAGGAGGCCCTGAGTCGCTCCAGCAACAGAACACCCTTGCGTGTCCACTCCACAGGGCGTACTGTGGGATCTCCTGGCTGGGATGCCTTGATTAAGAACATGGGACGTACGCGAGAGCTGGCGCATGAAGACGGCCTGGTATCAGACTTGGAATCTGTCATTGCTAATGCGAATTCTGCGCCAACATTGGAATCGCTCTTCATCAGCTTCTCACGAGATAACCCATGGGAGGTGACCTTACCATTCGAGCCACAGTATTTCCCACGGCTCAAGAGGCTCTCTCTAAACTTGTCCTTGCTCTCGTTTGACTGGAAAAGTATCGCTCCCTTCACGGGAGTTACTGTACTGAAGATGGACTGCATCATGAACAAACCAAACGCGGAGTTCCCTAGATTTCTTGCTGCTCTAAATTGCATGCGCGCGATCGAGAAGTTGAGTTTGAGCCTCCTTGAACGACCCAGCGAACAGTTTTGAACTCAGGACCAAGGTCTTTTTGTCACCCTACCTAAACTCAACGACTTCTCGCTATGGTCCAGTTACGATTCCTGTATATCCCTTCTTCCTCGAATGCATTTCGATCGCAGGCGTGCGAGTCTTTCCCTCAACGTTCAGGGCCACTTTGACAGGCAACGTAGCCAAATTACAGCTTTGGCTCAGCTACTTCTCCCGGCAGACTATCGCACTTGGGACGCCGGTAACGTGGCTGCGGTACGAAACCCCCAAGAAGCTCTAAAGGAATACACACCTGAACTATCTACGCAAAGCCGCTATGCGTCAAGCTTCGGTATGGAGGTTTCGTTAGGTTCTCAATCAGTTACGTTTTCTTTTCAGCTTTCCCTTCACGCCGAAGTCAAGTCATGCTTCCTGCTCAGCTGCACGTTTCAATCGGATGCATCCAGAGAGGTCCTTGCCTCCTACGCGGAGGCGCTTCCCATCCCATCTGTGCAAACTGTACGCATCCATGCGTTTTACGCCTGGAAGAGCCACCTACCCAATCCATTCGAATACCTTCCTTCCGCCACAACACTCGAGCTAGCCAAGACCGAGACTGAAGATAGCACAGCGATATTCGCCTGTTTGTACCCCCGCGATGGACTACTACCGTTGCCGGGTCTTCGCAAGGTCGTGATCGAGGGCACGTATTTTTCGATACCTAGAATCAGCCCCTCCCTCAGCGGCGGAATCACGCGAGAGACCGTTGTCCGGTGCCCGAGTATCGCGGCGTTGAGGGATTGCATCATCGCTCGGCGGGAGCTCGGGTGCCGCATCGAGCATATCGTCTGCGCGCGCACCTGCGACTCCGAGGCCATCCACGTCGATGCTCTGAAGGCCCTCGGACTCGAGGTCGACTGGTTGCCCAACTTGCATCTCACACGGTATCCCGTGAATAGGAAGGTAAGCGACGTTTTGACGTTTTTGTCTCATGGCCTGGCGCTAAACCTGTCAGGAAAACACATATTCACCGTACATCTGACATTCTTACCGTTTCTCGCTTGGTTCTGGTTCTGATTGATACGCATCTTGAACGCTTGCCGTGAGTTGGGCCTGCAAGGAACCGATGGTGGCCCCGGGGAGTCGATAGTGCAGGGATTTGCTTCCCCAATCGTCGCTTATTCCTCACATCGGTTTGCACTTTTTACTTTCTATTTACTCCCATTTCAACGACACGAGTGCCTGATTCTATTAGTCCACTGTCCATCAGCCTCTGTCTACCTTTAGCTTGTGTATGACGTCTTCACCATATCAAAACCTCTCGCAATGAAGATGAATAGGATCTCAGGTAGTCTTGCCAAGTTGCTAATAACAAATCGGCGAGACAGTTCATGGTATTTGTGAAACGCTAACATATCCAAGCGCGAATGTATTGCGTAGTATGTAGTAACAAGTATTAGTACCAACGAGCACCGTCCCCGACCAGTACAAAGACGTACCAGAGAACGGCGATAACTTATAAAAAGTGCGAAACTGTAATCTACTGTACTATACGTGTCAAACAGGCATCCAAGATCCACTCAGAGTCCAAGTCTATCTGCCTCGTCCTCAAGCCCAAGTTCAAGGACTGAATAAAGTACGTTCCGTGTCGTCGTTCGTGCGTTCGTGATTGAGCCTGGAAGTGTGTTTTGTTCTTCGTTTGGAGGCTTCATTGCCTCCGCCGTATCGTGGTTCATCGAGGGGGCGTCGTCTGGTCATCACCTAGGTGCGACATATCCCACCCACATTCCATCCCACTCTCCTCATCCCATCCTTACAGCCTCTTATCCCCCTCCAGCTCAGACCCGACTATCGCGGTACCGCGTCGCGCGCGGGTCCCAGCGCCCGTGCATCTGCTCGTTCCACGCGCGGTTCGCGAGCGCGAAGAGCAGCGTGGTGAGGAGCAGCGCGAGAACGACGATCCAGCCGAGCCACGCGAACGCGAGGAGCGCGGTGAGGATGCGGCACGTGGAGTAGTGCCAGCACGAGGAGAGGTTGCCCCAGCGCGTGAGCAGCGTCGGGACGTTCGATGTGACCTATCGCAACGACATTCCATCAGCACTTGCTTATGGAGCAAAGGGAAAAGGGAGGAGGGGGGAGGGGGTGGGGAGACGTACGGTGGCGATGGCGGCGCCGACGAGCCACAGGATGAAGAGCACGCCGAGGCCGAGGAACTCGTGCAGGAACGTGCCGATGATGCGGCGCTCGTGGCGGCCGTGGATCGTGTGCCCGACGAACGCGGACCAGAGGATGGTGAGGAGGGAGGTGGCGAGGAGCAAGGCGACGATGGGGTCGTAGAAGCGCACGCCGTCGTTGAGCGGGTCGAAGGGCGAGAGGTGCTCGGTGTAGTGGATGCGCACGGCGCAGAGGGACATGAGGACGATGGAGAAGATGAACTGTGCATGACGTAGAGGGGCGAAGGGGTGGTTAGTTGGGGTTTGGCTGGGAGAAGAGGCGGGAGACGTACGAGGACGATGTACAGGAAGCTGCGGAAGATGTGAATCATCTTGACTGAGGCTTTCGGTCTTGGTCGTGTTAGAAAGTTGTTTAGAAGTCGTTAAGGACTCGTAGAAACAGGAATTCTTGGCGAACAAGTTAAAGTCGTTCGAGGTTGCTAGTGCGTCAAGGTGAGTGAGCAAAGCGAGGTGAGGACACCACACCCCCTCAACCCGCTTCCTTAAGAATGCGGACCGTGAGCAGCTGGGAAGCCGTTGTGTTTATTCATGAGTGGGCTGACGAACAGCCTACGCCCTCAAGGTGTCTGGATGAACACGAGGCATCAGCATGGAGCACCCTCGTTGTGTGAGCACATATGAATCCATTAGACGTAAACACGGGACGCGTGTGCTCCTGGTTGTATGAACGCGGGCAGGTAGGGGCAGTGACGTTGTTCTCGAGCTCAGATATCGCCGCCGCTAGACAAGGACCGTTGTATTTGGGGCTCCTTGGGTTTTGGTGTAGCTATTCCACGCGAGGAAATCGGTTACGGTGGGGTTGTCGCCGCGATGGTTCTTTTGTCCACGGGCGATAGGCCGGCGGCGTGCATCAATGTATTCAGTTGGATAAGAAAGGACAAGAATAAGCACGGAGCATATGCATACATTGGAACTAGAACCACGATGGAAAAGTCTAGGAGGGTTAGGAATGGACGATGAAGGCGAGATGAACGTCGGAACGATGATTCCAGAGTCCGAAGGGCAACACGTGTAGGGCGTTTGTCTGCGGCGGTGTCAGGGCGAGACGGTGATCTTTTCATCGCTCGCTATTCTTAGATAGGCGCGTGAGGGCAATTGGCTGGCTAAGAATGGGCTGACCAAGGATATTTTGATAGGTGTTTGGAAGATCAACGTGAAACCGGTGTGGTCATCGATGCGCTGGGACTGGAAGAGGCTGAAGTTTGTGAAGGCCACGCATGTCCTGTCGAGGTGAACGGAGACAAGGGTCCGGGAGTACCCGCGACATGACAAATGGCGGCTCGTCCGCGCCATTCAGTCAGGAACAGACTTCATGTTCGAGTTGAACAAGTGAGACATCGCATCGAGGGCGCATGGCACGCTCCGCGGCAGGCATTCAAGGCATGGGGATCGCTGGCCGCGGTGTGTGGTAGCCGGGATGCCTGGAGGTCGCCGTGCCAGACATGCGTGCCGGCATTCGGCGATGTTTAGTGTATATAAAGAACACAGGATTTCGGGTGCAAGACGTGCCATGCCTTTCTCTACCTCCCATTCCGCGCCATCGCGCCATGCGTTCTGTCTTCTCTAGCACCGCGCCCGACACCGCCTGAGGGGCACGAGGAGGAGGCGTGCTGCATCTGTCGGCATGTCGGCTTCTGCCTCGGTCTCTGTCGTTCGGAAACAAGTCGGGAGTCGGAGATGCTCTAGGCTGGGTTTCCACGGAAGGAGTCTCGGATTCTGATTCGATGGGGGGCGGCGGGATGGTCGGGGCGGGGCCTCCGAAGATGACGGGAGGGGTGGTAAAGGCTTGTCAGGGGCAGTGGGGGTGCTGCTGCGGAGTCGATGATCGAGTTCTAGACCCAGGGGTAAGCAGGAGTTATCCTTTCGCACTCCACCAAAGAGAGGCGCTCCCCTCTTGCTTTCTTTGCAATTGCAACGGGGTGCGGATCGCACTGCACTGCACGGCCAACATCCAACAGACGGCCAACGAGAACGCTCACTCTCAGTCTCATCTTGTACTTGTAAGGTCACCTCCCCCCGACTCTGATCCGCCCTACCACGCATATACTCACCCAACCTTACTTTGCCTTGCTTCTGCCTCATTTTAGTCTTGACCGATCCCGCCCCAATCCTTCCCGCGCCTGCCCAGCTTCTCCCTCACAGGCCTCGTCGTCATCCAAGTAGCGCCACCGCTTCACCACCCCCTCCATCTCTCCCCCTCCCCTTCCAAATCAGCCCACCGTGGCCGTCCGACTGCTCTCCCCGCCCCTCCCCATCACTGCCGCAGACAGACGGCCAGCCATGTCCCACGTCTGGCAGCGCCACCCGCGCTACGCCCTCCTCGTCGCCTTCGTCCTCCTAGGCACCTTCCTCTTCCTCAACCCCTTCTCTGACAGCAGCGACCTCTCCTCAAACCCGAGCGCGTTCGCCGCGTACATCCGGGACACTTCCCTCCCAGCAAAGCTCGCCCGTGCAGAGCAGGTGTACACCAAGACCCTCAAGTCCAGGCAGGAGCTGATTCACAGGCATGGCCCGACCGCCCACGATATCCTTATGTATGTCTTTTCGCTGTCGTCATTTTCGGCTATCGTTCTTCCTATCCCGCACTTCCGCTGCCCCTTCCTTGCTTCTGGCCTCTGTGAACGTGTTATATTTATATCTCATGCGTGGATTAGGTTCCCTCCAGACCGCGATCCGTGGCCTGCCTACACCGTCTGTGAGTCCCCTGATCCATGGCCTAAGGCCATCTAAACGCTGATTATCAACAAAGGGAGTTTCTTCCCGCCAACATTCGACTGTCCGCATGAGACGGAGCGCGTAGGCTCACTAGGCGATGGTGGAAAGTGGACTTGCGGACTTTCACGGCTAGAGCACAAGCCAGAATGTGTGGTATACTCGTTCGGTGCGCTTTGGATTGCTTTTCTCTCACCCTTTCGTTGTTCTGACGCTGTTTTTGCTCATCTTTTCGGTCATTGGCTATTGCCCTGCTCTATCCAAAACGAACGCTTTCTGCCGATGTTTTGACCCGACGAATATCCCCGTGTCACCCGAATGGCGCTATGGCATACGAAACAAATGAATTGAAACATTTGGTCTCATCCAATTCATCCTTTGCACCGCATCGCTGGCCCCTCCCATTCACCGACCCTCTAAATGCCAATTCCACCTCCCCTGCCACGCTCAAACCCATTATTTCCTGAACTAGGCACGAACTACGACGTCTCGTTCGAGTCGGAGCTACTCGACCGCACGCGGCGGTGCCAGATCTACGGATTCGACATCCGCGAGGCCGCCGCCTTTGGAGGGGCGCTGCGTTCCTCGCCTCGCGCGCACTTTATGCATGCGGGGTTGTCGAGTGTGGATAAGCATGGGCCGGAGGATGTGCATAAGTTGTATACGCTGGAGAGTTTGATGCGGCGGAATGGTAAGTTTTTCGCGTTCTATTCGGTGTTTGCGTGTTTCCATATTGGAATGTCTCTGAGAGTGGTGGCTAACGTTGGCGCACCCCTCCTTAGGCCACGCATACATCGATATTTTGAAAGTCGATCTTGAGGGCGCCGAATTTGATGTGCTCACGCGCCTCCTTGCACCGTACCTCTCCTCGGGCGCGCCTTTGCCCTTTGGCCAGCTACTCCTCGAAATTCACACGTGGGAGAAGACGTTTGCGGAGGTTTTGAGCTTTTGGGAGACGCTTGAGGGGGTCGGTCTGAGGCCCTTCGCGACTGAGGTCAATCTGGTGTATCAGAACTATAACCGGGGGAAGGATACCGATTTGGCTGAGGTGCGTTTTCTCCAGTCTAGTCTTGGCAATCACTCGTTTTGTTCTGCCTGTGATACTAAATGGTTTGCCTTTTTCGTAGTACTCGTTCCTCAACATCAAGGGCGACAGCATCTTCGTCGCCGACCCGCCGGTTGCTGATGCGGACGCGGAGACGCGCGCGCGCCGGTGACCTGCCGGATTTTCGGCCTCTGTGCCGGCCCCAGCCGGGCGGGCCGCGTTCGCGTCACGTGGAATGTAGCAATGTATATAAACGGACCGCATTATGCTGTATCACACTTGACTTGGGGTGGAAGGAAGGGGGAGAAGGGCGTGAACGCGGCGCGATGCGGCTGGCTGGGGAATGTGGCGGGAAATGCTGTGAGGGAGAGGGCGAGGAAAGAGGAAGATGGTCGGCGGATATACCTGTTCAAGAATTTAATATATCTTGCATTGCACCGTACATACTAACCCTGTCGTGCACATGTAGTGTCTAGCATGGATATCGATGAGACGTAGATATGCGCTGTATCCGATGTCTCTTTCCTCTGAAATTTTGCTTGAGCCGTCAAATTCCCGTGTGCAATGCAGGATTGTTCACTAAGCCCTGGTTTCTGCCCGTTTTCGCTCCCATCCGTCTCCAGATGCACCACGAAACCAGCACTCTCATACGCTTTCAACGGTGATATGCATCTCCAAGGCCGATAATGCGATCCTGATGTCTTCCGCCATATTACACTCCCCACATAACAGAAGCGTTTGCAGTCGAGATCGCCTTGCTTGACGCTCGGATATACATGCTACGAGCGACTTGTGTGCCTTGTCATGGCAAAATGGTCCGTGTTGCACGATAAGTTCCTTGAGCTCAGGAACGGGAACCTCCAGCTCGTCAGGTGATAATACTGTCGAGAGGGCATCTGAGTTCATGTCGGAGACGGTGAGCGAGTGTACCGCGGGCATGTCAGCGAGAGCGTCTCGAAGATCATTCTCGTGGTTTTGGTAGCCCGAAACCGTCACCTGACGAACGTTGGTGAGGAGAGTAGCCCTCGCCATCTCTCGAAGGATGACGACAGGAGGCATGCTAGAGATGTACCAAAAGTATAAGCCTTGACTGGCTGGCGTCGAATAAGACTCATCACGCCTCCAGGTCGAGAGCTCGACTGCGACCTGATCTGTGCGTGAAACGGAAAGGGTTGAGTAGTCGTGCATGAGCCGTTGAGATTGGCCGTGTAAGAGATCACGGAGCTGGCCAAATGCGAAAGCCGGCGTCATAACCCCTTGAAAGCACTCGAGACCGAGATATGCAAGCCGATCCAGCGATTGAAGGTCTGATAGAACGTTGAAACACTCTGCGACGCTGCCCTGCAGGCGAAGATATCTCAGCCTAGGCAGGTCTACTTGTTGCGAGTACCCGAAAGATGTGTGCGGAGGAACGATGTCGTGTAGCTTTGGAAGGGCGCCGCGCAGGATAAGTCCCTGCAGAGCTGGCATTAATGCGAGAGTCTTCACGAGCTGAAGAGTATGTGGGCGATTGATGATGTCACAGAGTGAAAGATGAGTGAGACGAGAGAAACAGTGGTGTCGGGTGTTCCAATCAAACGCGACACTCTCAAGGTGCAGGCTAGTTAGCTGCGGCAATGAAACAGTGGGTATTGTGGATGGGAAATTGAACTGTGTTTGATCCCCGGATGTTACTTGTATGTTGAGCGACGAGGTAATGCTCTCGGCGGGAGAGTACTGGGCAAGGACATGGATGATGCGAGAGGCGGGTCCGACAAGCACAACCTCACGCGTTTGTCGTACGATAGACCAATCGACATCATCATTGCTGTCATTTTCCCGGGCGTCTTCTGCAGCTATCGCCGCGACAAAGAAGACGCGTCGATGTTGAAGGGGGGTGCACGAGTCCACGGCCAAACGCCAGTGTTGGCAGACGTTCCTGAGGTTCAGATGTAAGGAAGATAATGATTTGCTAACAGGGTAGGTCGGATAGTCTGGGTTATAGTCGATCCTGTTGAGCGATGCCTCGAAGATGAGATTCAAGATGTCAAAAGGTAGCTCCGATGCTAAGGAGAGATTAACTTGTTTTGATAACATTATGTTCTGCGAAAACATTGGGAGATAGGTGTACGGTAGTTGTTTGTGATATTTCAACATGCTTACCAGTCAACTTTGGCTAGCGTGATGTCGGTTTTGCAACCTGTTCGGGACCCATTGCCAAACAGCTGTAGTTGGCATGGGCCGTACGGCGTAGACAGCCTGTCGCATTCGATCTCCGCAAATATCGGAGGACGAACTTCACTGCCAGGGGCTCGAGCGCTCAACACGTTCAACTTCAACTTCAACAGTTACGCCATACGGATGACGAAGTCGACGAGGCTGACACACGTCGAGTTGACGGAGCATCATGCATCATGTATAACATGACGCGTCGACGCGGCTTCGCATCCTCACCTAGTCCAGCTCATGATTCTACCTCGGCATCGCACCGTCTCTATCTCTACCGATGAGTCTCACCATCGGTCACCCTCAATGGTCCTTACACCCATTACGCTATTCTGGTATGTCAACCGCCCCTCGTCTTTGTAAACCTCCAACGTCTGTGCCCATATAAGCAGCTCAGGAGTCGATGAGGAAGCCCCTTATTCTTCATCTCTCAGCCCTCCTCTCCCTTGCCACATCCTTCTTACGCGTAAACCCGTATCAGACGTTTGACCATAATGAAGCTCTCGATGCCGACTTTCTACCGCGACCAGTGGGAATGGCTCCCCCCGGTCGTCCGTGCTGATCTATCTAACCAGACTGTCGTCGTCATCGGCGCCAACACCGGTATCGGTCTCGAGGCTTCGATACATTTTGCCACCATGAAGCCCAAACGCCTGATCATCGCGTGCAGAAGCGAGGGTAAAGGGAAAGAAGCTGTTCAAGGTGTGTACCCCTCTTCTACCCCCTGTCGCTGGCGGAGAGCTGATGAGACAACCTGGAGCAGAGATTACCAAAAGGACGGGTTACGGGAGTACCGAATTGTGGCTCATCGACCTGTCGTCGTTTGCATCCGTGAAGGCGTTCGCGGACCGGTTTGAGCGCGAGGGAGGCCCGCTTGATATCCTAGTCATGAACGCGGCTGTCTTGCCAGTGAAGTACGAAAAGTCCGAGGACGGGTGGGAGAACGCGTATGTCTTTGTCTTGTCATTCCCTTTGTTTTCTTCTTTCAACGTTTCCTTCGCGTCGTGTTCAGTCTGCAAGTAAACAACCTGTCGACGTCACTCCTCTCCCTCCTTCTCCTCCCTCGCATGGCGGAAGCAGGCAAGAAGAGCGGCAAAGCATCGCGCCTCGCCATCGTCTCGAGTGATGTACACTATTGGGCCACCATTCCTTCTGCTGTTCAGGAAGCTGCAGAACCGCTCAAGCTACTAGGCAGCGAAGAGTACTGTACCGCGACACCACAGAGTATACGGCCTCGGTATTTCGAGACCAAACGTACGCCTCCTTCCTTTGTCTTTGGAGTTATCCTAGCTTAGATACTAACTTCCCTCCTAGTCCTAAACGTCCTCTTCACCCGCGCCCTCTCCGACCACCTCCGTCCGCTCCCCACTGTGCCCGTGACGCCTGTAGCAATCAATCCCGCCTACTGCTGGTCACAGCTCCGTCGCGACCTCAAGCTCGACTGGGGTACATGGGCGTTCGAATGGGCGCTCGCACGGCCGTCGGAGCACGGTGCGCGCCAGCTCGTCTTTGGCGCGCTAGGAAATCGCGACAAGGAGGGCATGATGCGGGGTGCGTTCGTGAGCAAGGGCACAACGCAGGAGGTTGCCGATTGGGTGCTCAGCGACGAGGGTGTGAGGATGCAGGAGCGGATATGGGAGGAGACGATCGAGATCCTGAAGGAGGTGGATGGAAGGGTGGATGGGATTGTGAAGGAGTATACGATGGCTTAGGCGATGCCTCAATCGCTACCTTCCATTTCCTTTATTCAGTGTCGGTTCTTGTGCCCGGATTGTTTATGCATCAATGCTCACCATGTTCTTTGTTTCGATCGCAGATTGACAAGCTCGAGGTCAGAGCAATGTAACATTGAAGTCAAATATTACCTATTTTTGAAAGGGACCACTTTCGTGCGCTAACTGCGAACGCGCGAACACTCACCTATGCAGTGGTATAAACTGTCATTCTTTGCATCGAGACACGCTGTATAGCGCTCTGGTGTGCCTCACCTAGTCAACATCGCCGCGTATTCCTCATTATATGGGAAAGGTTTGTCCACCGAACTTCATTTGTGTTCCAGTGCATCTCCCAGGTATACCTTTCTTACAGACGCCTCTTTCTAGTTCTCACTGCTGACTCGTGTGTTATCTACTGACAATTATAGCCAGACTTTATCTCGTCTTAAAGCTACGCGAAAGTGACAGGCAAAGCGAGTTCTCATCAGAAACTCGTCATCACCTAGTCTTGCATATACAGCCAAAACCTGCTATGGACACAGCCGTTTCATGCCCCTGGATCTATCATGCCAACGGGTGGATGTCCGCACCAGAAGTAGGAAAGACCCGACATCAGAAAGCTGGTGATGAATGCCTTTCCTTTGCTACTGAGGCGGCTAGCTTCACGTTGACATTTCCGAGATGGTCCGCGTTGGTGGACCCTTGTCCCTATATTCGGTTACGCTGCGGTCATGGCTGTGAGGTGCAATCAAAAGTTCTTGTGGAGTCGTTCTTTGCGCACTCGCTCCGAGTCCCGTCAGAACATTCTGAGCGCTTTTAGGTGTCTATCCTGCCAAAACAGTTCCCTGTTCCCGATCATTGATCTTTAGGTGGGCAAACTCCTATTGACCCTACGGTATTCTGGGGGAAAGAGACACCAGGCTCAGTCAAATCTTTACAGGGATTCACGTAAGGTATCCAAAAGGTGGCGTATGCATCATATCATGCTTCGTTATGCCACTCAGCCTCCTATAGACACCGTACACTGCCCTGAGCTTATCTTGACAATAGGCAGACATTCAAATATTCAGGCGTTGCTATGTACCAGAGGTGATCGTACACGTATCCGGACGCCGACTACACCCGGAAGCTTCATCAAGTCGCTCTGGGTTCAACTTGATACCCCAATCCGTGTCACTGATTATCTATAAAGACGGTGCCCTATCGACTTCATTGAGTAGACAAGATCGTTTGGAAACTCGTTCATTACCGCCAGTACACCACCGACTGCTATATGCCACCTATTTCTGCGGTACGCGACATCAGTGCATCAACATGAATAAGCTTATAGGTAGGCGCTTCGCTCTGTAACCAACTTTGACTGATTTGAGCGCCGCCAACAGTCATCACTCTTGTTTTTCTCTCGTACTTGCACTATGCCCTCGCTGCTGCAAACTTCACGCAATGTCTCTATAAGATCCAAAGCTCTGGAAATGAGATGCTGCTCGGAGGTTTACGCGACTCCAACGGCGGCAACGTGTCGCTCGCGGACGTCAACAGCCCAGATGTCACAGCGATGGATTACAACACTTGTGTCACGGTCTGCGGCACTGAGAATGAAGCCTTTGTATGGTCCGACTTCGTCCAGAGAGTTCTGGAATGGCTTCTACCTTACCTTTCCCTATGCTCTCAACTTCCTTTCGGCGCCAAATATAACACAGATAACCTAATGTCCATCGTCCTCGCGGCGGGGTCACCTGCACTCGCTGGCTACACCCTTTTCATGACCATGCTCAACACAAGGTGGATTAATAAGTCGTTCGAGGCAGTGAAGAGTTTTCCAAACACGGCCGAGGCAGCTCGAGTGCTCTCCAGTCTACAGCAAGTCCCTGTTCATGTCAGCGACGCGGAATGCATGCTCTCATCTCTGGTTGTCCTGCCTGAGAACGACGATTGGTGGTTCGAGTTTGCGGAGTCGGTTGTCGGAGATTTCCAAAAGGGGATTTGATTGCTCCCTTGAGTGCTATACATTTTATCGCATTGGAATGCCAAGGAAATGCCGTAATATTGTTGTGAGGCTAAAATAACCGATTCAAATGGCAACATTTTGCTGCACACACCAATAAGAGACCCCAAACCGCCAGTTCAGAGCTTAAAATAATGCCGTTCGATTGCCATTCGATTGCCGTTGGCAACCCATTCTCACGAAAACTCATTTTCATATATTATAATGGTGTACATGGGCATTAGAATGCGCTAGAATCTGGTTTTTTGCCCCTGAGATTTTTCTGACATTGAACTACATGAAGACCTGGTCTATCTCCGCAGCCGTCTCGATTACCTGGGTGATCCTCGCATGGATTTTCACTGCAACGCTTTTCACCCTGACGTCGCGGAGTTCCTTCGTGAACCAGAGCGTGGGAACCATGTTCCTATGGCTGATACCCGTGGTGGTCGGGTGGCAGCAACTATCGCCCAAATGTGACTACGACCGCCTCAGCCGTGCATTCGATCGTTCTGATGCAAAGGCATACGTCGCTACCCATGAAGGCGGCAAGAAGGCTGGATTGTTCACAGAAGAACGTGCTATATCAATCGCGCCTGTGGTCAGTGAGGATGCTGTTTCCCCAGACGTGTTTGCCACTCCCCCCATTTTCAACTATTCACGCACCTTCGCGTGGTCACGCTCAGCAGAAGAGGTCCTCAGAGCATTCCAATACGCTTCGTCTAATGCGGCGGTGCACAAACCGGTGAATCCCGAGCGCACGTGGGAGGTCCTCGACGACGACGATATACATCCTGACAATCGACGCGGCCCTCCTATCGAAGTTGAGCGCTACTGCGGTCGCTTAGATTCAAGGCAAAGTCCATGGGCGTCCGGCGTCTTAACACGAGTTGCCCTCGCGTCCATTGCTGGGTTGGTACTTCAGTGGGGAACGACGGGCCCGGCTATTATCATGCTGCTGTATACTCCTACTGTCGTAAGTGAAGCAAGGTACAAATGTCAGCCATGTATTTGAGCTAACTAGAAGGATTTCCCCAGGGACTTGCATGTCGATCTCTCTCACTTTTGACGTATGGTCTTCTTTCTACCATGATATGGATGATGATGCTGGCGTCCAGCGTGGCAGCGCATTATGCTATTTCGCACCATCAAGACGATTATGACCCACTTTTCAACCACGTTCATCACATCTGGAAACGAGCAGCTGATGTTTTTCGTTTGATCGGGCAGGTGCTCGCAGTCTTGAACTCAATTATCTTTTTCAGCATCCCTGTTCTTGAATTTGCAAATCTGTTCGACAACTGTTATTATGACTCCTCTGTTTTGGGTCTCGGACGTGCTGGGGCATACAATGTCGTTACTCTCTTGAACTCCGATGAAGAGGTGACTAAAAGAGTTTATGCATTATGCATGGCTGCTGCGGCATTGTGTGCTGTTGCTTTCGTAGCAGTGTTCAATATCAACACAGACTGGGACTTTCAGCCTAGCAATCGTTCTGGGCGTACACTAGTAGACCTCGTTTGTTCACGGACTAGTCCCTCGAGTTTTGCATACATAGTTACCTCCGAACAATCACTCAATCTTTTCCTTGTCTTTGCTTAGAATAGTACAAGACACGCCTCCGGCAACCTTATGATGTAGGGTAACAAACACTCATACCATTTTGGTAGAACGGAACCAAACTTTGGAGGGCGTCTGACCTAAGTAAAATCCCCGATCATTGCCTCAACGACGATGAACAGGTGTCGCAAAGTCAGTCCACATGTTCTCGGAGCTTCGGCACACGCGACTTTGCTGTGTTAACAAAATTGCATGCTTACACCTGGCGGATAGTCGGCGGAGATCTACCAATATGGTTATAACATAACAATCGCGAACACATTCAGAATCTCTGTCTAGCAAGCGCTTGGATTGCCCGAGTCAGGCGACGCAACCCCACGGCGTAGTACTAATATTTGTGCGAGTCCGATGGACCAAAGAGGTTTCAGTGGTTTCGTTCGGTGATTTCCAGTGACGCTCATTCCCAGTCAGGAGCCGCTAGTACAGCCACAATTAGATCACACGTGCGAACTTTGCCACGTGGAGCGGCCGAGGGTGACCAAGCAGTGAAACACAGCGTAACTCTGGCAGATAGGTCATACGGAGGGGTTGGCGAGCCGGAGGCGAGCCGAGAAGCTCCCGAGGGGTTCAGCCTCCGGGAGGCCCAAAAATGGCAAGGGGCCGGCGATTTGGGAGCTGTCACGTGACACGGTCTGGCTCGCTTGGCGGAGAGACTTATGTCGCAAAGTTCATTTTCCGGCTGCAGCCGGTCGCAATCGACCACAATTACTGTTCAGTCAGAATGATTTAATAGTATTTTATATGATTAGAAGCACATTGCAACTGACACGGGCGATTGCAATCCACTTTGAGGAGCGTTGCAACCGCTTGCAGCTTAGACGTAATAAAATCTCAACCATAGTCGCTAAAAATACTCTAAAATCCGCGAGACCTCCGCTGCGTTCCCGCTTCAATTAAATTGCAGGCTGGTTGCAAGGCACCAAAATCGGAAATGGCTGCAATCGAACTATTAAATTTGCGA